CTGTGTGGTGCGTGTGCCCTGCTGCTGTGGCCCGGCCCCCTTCCTCCTCAGTCCTCTCCCCTGCAGAGGTGCGCTCTGCCTGGAGAGGGCAGGGTTTGGCCCGGGGGTTGGTAGCGCACCAGGCTGGGGCCACCTTAGCCTAAGTTGAGTCGGACCAGCTGCACTGTCACCGGACCCCACTGGAGAAGCTTTTGTGGTTGGGCGGGCCCTGCAGTCTGACCAGATGTCTGACGCCAGCCCGCTGCTGGGGCCGCAGTCAGACTGGTGTGTGTGGTTATCTTCCCCTCTCCGGGGTCAGGAGTCACCGTGGAGGGGTGCAGGCCTCTCTCTTGGGGCTGCTGGCACCACTTGGGATGGGCTTGGGCCTAAGGCGTATCGGAGGGGTTAGATTGCAGGAGAACGCAGGGAGGGGGCTCCAGGAGCCAGCAAGGTGCGTGCTGGCCCACTGCCATCAGGGACCCGCAGTGCACAGGGACAGCTCCTGGGGGGTCTGGCCACGCCAGAGGGGACAGGGCGCAGGAGGGGTGTGGGAGTGAGGTGCCCAGTGCAGGCTGGGCCCCCGTGGGAAGGGCGCTGTAACTGCCCCGGAAGACCCTGCAGAGGCTGGGATGGGGGTGGCGGGCACGTGCTCTTAGCACTGTGCTGCTCCTGCAGGTTTCTGCGTGTCTGGGCTGGGGGTGTGCGGGAGGGAAATGGCGCCTGCCAGCTCTTTCGTTCTCGGAGGGGTGTCCCAAGGATGCCCGCCCTCCCGGCACAGGCTCTGAGGTTCGCAGACAGCCTGTATGTGCTGGGCCTCCTCCAGCCTGCGGCCGCTTCGCCGTGGCTCAGTGAGCCTGCCGTGCCGTTTCCTGTCACCCTCCAGCTCCCTGGGGCGGAGCTGCTGGTTTGGAGTTTCGGGTGCTCAGCCCCACTGGTTGTAAGAACCCGCAAAGTTCGGCCAGTCTGGTTTTCAAAGCCCTGTGTCATGGGGGCTCGTCTTCCCAGTGCAGACCCCGGGTGCCTGGTGTGGGGTCTGCTCTTGCCCCCTCTCCGCACCCGGTGCGTTTCTCCCTTCTGCAGACGGCCTTTGGGTTCGTTGGGCTCCAGACCATGCCCGCCCTTTCTGTCCCGCTTGGATGTGCGTGTCTCTACCTTTAGCTGTGGAAAGTCTGTTCTGCCCGTCTTTGGGTCCTTTTCTGGGTTATTTACACTCATGTCAGTGTTATGTTAGTGCAACCATGGGATGAGGTGAGCCTAGGCGCCTCCCACTTCGCTGTTGTCCCCAGAAGTAAGATTTAGCATCATTCTTTTTTTTTTTTTTTAAGATTTTATTTATTTATTTGACAGACAGAGATAACAATTAGGCAGAGAGGCAGGCAGAGAGAGTGGGGGAAGCAGACTCCCCGTGGAGCAGAGAGTCTGATGCGGGGCCCGATCCCAGGACCCTGGGACCACAACCCACGCCGAAGGCAGAGGCTTTAACCCATTGAGCCACCCAGGCGCCCCAAGATATAGCATCATTCTTAAAGGCCGTGAGATTTTCAGAATGGTTCGGGAGCATTTAGCTGAAAGTCACCCGTCGCACTGGCCCCGACCAGACGATCAGCCTGTCCGTGGAAGCTGTGAAGGCAGCACTGACGACTCCTGTCTAGCCGGGGAAGCCCTCGATGGCACCTTCTTCCCGTGGGAGTCCCTTGCATCCCCCCTGAAAATCTGCTGGTCAGTGCAGCCGCCTTCGGGAACGATCTCGATCTTCCGGATCTTCCGGATCTCCTGGTCACTTGCTGCAGCTCCCACGGCCGCGCATGCTGCTTCGCCTTGCGCTTTCGTGCCACGGACGCGGCTTCCTTCCTGAGACCTCAAGCCGGATCTCTGCTCGTGTCAGGCTTCGCTCCTGCAGCTGCCTCCCCTCTCTCTGCTGCACAGAACCCAGGGAGTCAGGGCCTTCTGCTTTGGCTGAGGAGAATGGCGTGGCAGGTTTGAGCTTCCGGCCGGATGACTGGCACTTTCTCCCTCTCCGCAGTGAGGCTGTCACCCCCTTACTGCCCGTGTGGTCACGGTGCCCACGTGGTTTCCTTCAGAAACCACCTGCGTAGAGGAACTTGGCCGAGTGTTTGACACAGGAAGCTTAGCTTTCGGCCAGTCTCTGCTGTCCGCACGCCTGCCTTGTGCTCGAGCACGGAGAGGCCGCTGGAGGGATGTTACTTGGCCTGTCCGAGGGGAGGGGGGAGACAGGACTAAGGTGGCCGTCTCTGTAGGCACGGCTTGTGGTGCCCCAAATGATTACAATAGTAGAACTGAAGGTCTCTGGTCCCGGGTCGCCGCAAGCAGTAAGAGTAACAAGGAAGGAGTTTAAGAAGTGATGAGAATTGTGACACAGGGACAGGAAGTGTGGCCTGGGTGGGAAGACGGCACCAGTGGATGGGCCGACACGGGATGGCCACCAGCCTTCAGTGCGTGAGACACCCGTGTCTGTGGGGCGGGCTAAGACGACGCGTGCCTGTGCTCGGGCCTCCGCTGGCTCCCGGGACACGGCGGGGCCGCTGGTCCCACGTGCGCTCTCCGTGTGGCCTTCAGCGCTTGCACCGGGCCCTGGATCTCTGTCTTGCACTGTCTCTGGATCTCCACGCACCCCACCTTGGCTGTGCGCAGGCCCCAGAGTCGTGCTTTCGTCAGATTTGGGGAGTTTGGGCCTTTCTTTCTCTCCCTCCTTCCTTCCTTCCTCCCTTTCTTTTCCTTGCTTTGCTTTTCTTCCCTTTCTTTTCTTCTAAGATCTTATTTATCTGACAGAGCACAAGCAGGGGGAGTGGCAGGCAGAGAGAGAGGGAGAAGCAGACTCCCCGCTGAACAGGGAGCCTGACGCGGGGTTCGATCCTGGGACCCTGGGATCATGACCTGAGCTGAAGGCAGAGGCTTTAACCCACTGAGCCACCCAGGCACACCCCCCCGCTTTTAGATATGCCCCCGGGGCCTTTATTTCTTCTGAAGCCTTTTTGGTTTCCTGTGTCCGGGCCGCCCCCTTACCTGTGTGGTCTGCTCGCTGATGCCCCGGTGGTCTCCTGGGCTCAGTTCACTTTTCTTCGTCTCTTTTAAGTGTTTTCTTGGAACCGAGTAGTTTGTATTTATTTTCGGCTTCATCGGTTTCTGTTCTGAGCCGCACCTCCCCAGCCCCCCGGCTTGGGCTGTGTCCTCAGGCTGCCCTGGAATTGAGGTGTCCGCGCCCCCAGCCCGCACCGCTGACGCAGTTTCTCGGAAATTCTGTTCGCTGAGTGTGGGTCACATTTCCTCGTTTCTTTGAAAGGCTCGGAATTTGTCGTTGAATATGCCATATTTCAGTTAATACGTCATAGCAGCTCTGGTTTCAGGGTGTTGTTTTCTCCCTGAGAGTAGCGACGGTGATGGTTTCCCTCGGTGATGGCCTTGGCCTGGCTCACAGGCCGTCCTGCACCTGCTGGCGGCTTCGCGCCCGGGCTGCTTGCTCTGGCTCTCGGGGGCTCCCGGTCGCGGCCTGCGCGGCCTCCGCTGTCTGCGCACAGGCGTGTGCGGGCTCGGGGAGCCCCCGCCTGCAGGCTGTGCCAGGGCCTGCCCTGTTCTGCGTCCTGGGCCTCATGGACGCCTGCACTCGCACCCGGGCCCTGTCGCTGCAGGGATGTGGGGCGGAGGTCCCCTGGCCCTGGGCCCACAGAGGGCCCCAGCTGGGGCTGGCAGGACCACCTGTTGCCCGATCCCCTCTCTGAAGGGCACGTGCGCCATCCCTCAGCCCTTCTGGCAGAAGGCGGGAGCTACAGGTTATGGCGGCATCTCTGCCGTGCTCCAAGCAGCAGCCGTGAGCAGGGAGAGGGCGGGCGCAGCTTGGAGAGGACGGCCGGGCTTGGATGGGTGCACTGGCTGTGCTCCGCAGTTCGTCGGAAGCCCGCGGTCACTGTCTGGAGGGCTGCCGTGATGGTCGAGTGTTTCATCCCGCAGTGTAGCTGCTTTTCAGGACGGAGGGGGCCGATCTCCCTGTGCGTGTGCCAGGGCCTCCTGGGCGCAGCGCTGATGCCGTGTGGAGAGTCACCTGGCATGGGGCAGCTGGGAGGGGCCCAGGCAGCAGGAGTCCCAGGTGCCCAGCTGAGGTCTGACCCTGGGAGGTGGCATCGGAGCCTGTGTGGGCTGCTTTCTTAAGACGAGCTCATCCCACGTCCGTTCACACGTATCCCGTGGGTGCACAGGTCCCGCCATGCGGGCCACCGTGTGGGGCTGTGGCTGGAAGCGGCCCAGAGCGAGGCTGCGGGCCTGTCGCACCCTTAGGCAGGGACCCGTATGCCCAGCTGTGGAAACGCCCATAGCTCAGCGTCCGTCAGAGCCCGTGAGCGCCGGTCAGCTAGCGCGAAAACACCGATGTCGTGGAAGCCGGATGGTGGGGACGTGGGGTTTGTCATTGGACGTTCTCTTTTCTGGGCGTGTGTTGGGAAATTGTCCTAACGAAAGGGCAGGGAGAGGAAGCAGGCTAGACAGACTGTTTCTCTGGGCGAGAAGAAGGCGGGAAACAGCGCCAGATGGAAATGCTGGGCCGCGACTGTGATCCCGTCATGGCGGGGGCTCGTCCCGGCGGCGTGGGACAGGATCTAGGCCAGTATCTTTCCGCCTGGAAGACGCAGAGAATCTTACAGGCTAGTGAGAGAGACCACACGAGTTTGGAAACCGGTAGCCTCCTCCTGAGAGATGGAGTCAAAAATGGTGGGGAGGGACCGGACCCCGTCACTAGGGCTGTCGTAGGTGTGTGCTGCCTGGAAATACCTCGCTTTCAGAGGGTGGGGGTCCCCCACCTCACGCTTTGCTGAGCCACATGGAGATTGGATCACAGGGAGGGGACACTGGTTGTCCCCAGCTAAGTGATGGTGTTTTTGGATCTCTGCCGGATGATCTGAACTTCCTGGGGTTGTCATTGAGCCCGCTGTGTAATGGTCAGTCCGACGGGGGTGAGGGAAGTCATGGGCTGGGCGGCGGGCGCCTGACGCCCGTGTCTCCCCGTGTCACAGTCGGGGCAGTGCCGGTCCTCTCCAGAGACACCGCGTCGGGGAAGAAGGGCCGCCTGAGCCAGGTGAAGACGCCGCACAACCCCCTGGACTCCAGCGGCCCGCTGATGAAGAAGGGGAAGCGGAGGGAGGGCCCCAAGGCCAAGAAGCCAACCTCGTTGAAGAAGGTACGCAGGGGAGGCTGGTGCTCGAGACCCGACTCCGCCGGGTCTGTGTCACGTCTAACAGCTTGTAGCATTTTTGGATCTGGTATTCACTCTGCTGGAACGTGCGCCCTCGGCGTGTGTGTGTGGCTGTCTGGCAACGACGCCCTCCCTGCGTGGGGCGGCAGAGGGCACGGAGCAGGGCGCCTCCGCTCCTGAAGACGGGCTCGTTTTCTTATAATGCTGGGCAGGTGTTGCGGACAGAGAACCAGGAACGGGAGCTACTGCCCGCACCCTCCCTGGGGTGATCTGGCTGGTGTGCAGATTCTGGAATATGGGTTCTGTTGGGGCTGTCGCGGCGGTGCTGTCTGGCCTGGTCCTGCGTGCCCGCCTCTGCACATCTGGGGGACGTGGGCCCAGCCCCTGGGGACAGAGGGCATGTCGCTGCCATGAGGGCGCAGGAAGGTACCATGCCCACCTGCCAAGGGGGGGCGGCTTGTTCAGCAGAAGGGCTCATTCGTAAGGACAAGTATTTAGGTGTTTTAATCGCTTGTTTCATCTTAAAGATTATTTTGAAAGAACGGCAGGAGAGAAAGCAGCAGCGTCTCCAAGAAAACACTGGGAGCCCCGCTCCCGCCAGTGACGCCGCGCTGGGTGGCGAGAGCGGTGGTGACGATGGGGCCGCGGAGCAGGCTGTCCCCTCAGGTACCCATGTCCCGGTGGGCCGTGCACCGCGCCAGCTCAGGGTGGCAGCAGTCGGGGTGCTGGCCGGCCAGACGGTGTTCCATGGGCCGGCAGTGCTCCTGGCCCCTGCGCCTCTTGGGGGGCGGGCCGAGGGACAGGGGCGAGGCCCCCGAGGGTGCGCTGTGTGGCATCGGATGCTCCCCGTGAGAATGAACAGCACGGACGGCGTAGCTGCCTGCCCAGCAGCGTGAGGGCCATGGGGTCACGGCGGGCACGTGTCAGTAAGCCTCTGACCGAGCTGTGCCTTCAGAACGGCCCGCAGAGCATCGGTGCGGGGCCGGAGCACTTGTCACCTTTGTCCTTCTGCGGGGAGGGGCCGTCCCGGAGATGCCGCCCTGTGAGGTGCGCTCGGGCCTTCCTGCCCTCGGCCCGTGCGCCCAGCGTGGCCCGGGCTGTGTGCTGACTCGCTTCTCTGACGTTGCAGAGGGGTCCGACGTGTCCTCGTCCTCTGCGCCCGCGCTGGAGGGCGCGTCGGAAGGGTTGCCGAGAGCTGAGCTCCAGAAGGAGGTGGGGGGCTGCCACCCGGTCCCCAGCGGCACAGGCGGCCCCAAGATCCACAGCAGGAGGTTCCGGGAGTGAGTGACCGCGGGCCCCGGGGCGGGCTGGGCTCACTCTGATCTGGAGTGTGGGGCTGTCACGCCCCGATGTCCTCAGGGCACCAGGCCGGACCCTGGCTCTCCTCGGCCGGGCTGCCTCTTCTGCTTCTGTGAGGTCCTTGTCCTCACGTGCTGTCACAGCGGGCCGGGTGGAGAGGTCTGGGTCTCCGGGGATGTCGGAGGGAGCGCCGCCTGCTCCCGGGCCGCTGCTTTCCGCGGCGCGCTCTGGCTGTGGCTCTCTGTGGCCGGTGCCGCCCCGGGGCCCGGGCCGGGCAGAAGGAGGCTTTGCCCCTCGCGGTTGGGAGCCGAGAGGACGTGCGGTCCGTCGGCCGGGGGCCCGGTTCGGTGTGGGCCGCTCCCCGCGGGGACCCCGACAGGGCCGCCGCCAGCGGGCGCCTCCCTCAGTTACTGCAGCCAGATGCTGAGCAAGGAGGTGGACGCCTGCGTCTCGGAGCTGCTGAAGGAGCTGGTGCGCTTCCAGGACCGCACGTACCAGCGGGACCCGGTCAAGGCGAGGACCAAGCGGCGGCTGGTGCTGGGGCTGCGGGAGGTGCTCAAGCACCTGAGGCTCAGGAAGCTCAAGTGCGTCATCATCTCCCCCAACTGCGAGAAGACCCAGTCGAAAGGTAGCGAGCCGCGCGGCCTCCCGCTCCCGTCAGCTGGCCCGTGTCTGCCGCTCGCCTGGCCGCCCGGCGGCCGCGCTCTGACGCAGCCGGGCCCAGGCCGTTCCGGCGGGCCTCCGGGGAGGTGGGGGCCCCCGAGCCCCTGCCGTGGGGCTCCTGCCGTGGGGCCCCTGCCGTGGGGCCCCTGCCGTGGGGCTCCTGCCGTGGGGCTCCTGCCGTGGAGCTCCTGCCGTGGGGCCCCTGCCGTGGGGCTCCTGCCGTGGGGCCCCTGCCGTGGGGCTCCTGCCGTGGGGCTCCTGCCGTGGGGCTCCTGTGACCGGCTGCGCCCCAGTCCCGCTGGCGTGTCCTTGCTCGGTCGGGGAGCGCCGGCGGCTCGTCCCGGGGCTCGGCTGTCTCACCAGCCCCGGCAGGTTGGCTGTTTTGTGGGATGCAGCGGGCTGGGCCCATGACAGACGGGAACGGGCTGTGTGTTCGGGGACGGGTCGTGGGGAACCTGTGACCTGTGTTTTCGTCCGCCGGGGGCCGAGGGAGCCTTCAGAGCATCTGTGCCTGTTGCCCGCGTGGGTCGGGTCACCTTGCAGGGAGCCGGTCTGGCTCCTACGCGGAGCTTCCCTGGCTGCCGTTGCCGTTGCGCAGCCGGAGACGGGAGGTTTCCTGACTTGTGTGGGGTCCCTGGGGCCCGAGAGCAGCGGCTCAGGGCAGGCCCTGACCCCGGAATGGGACAGCCGGGGACTTCGGGCCCCTGTCCTCTGGCTGTGTGGTCACTGCGCCCCATCCTTAGATCCCGTCACAGCACTGGGTTTGAACACGAGTCCGCCCCCTCCCTCCCGGCCCGCGGCCTGAGCCTCCCCCGACATTGTTGGTGCCTGGGACGTTCCGCAGCTTTGCCTGGGCTCCTCGAGGCTCTCTGCACCCCCTGTGGCTGTCCTAGGGGACGGCCCCCAGCTCCTGCTGGGCAGCGGGCTGGGCGGATGCCGGCAGGAGTGCGAGCCCGGGCCGGTGAGAAGGCAGGTGCGAGCGTGCGTCTGGCAGATGGGGCTCGGAGCCCGGTGTCCCTGCACCACCCGCTCTCCGTCCTCCTTCCTCTTCTCTGGAAGTGGGTGGGCGCTGCCCGTGCGCGGGGCTCTGTGAGCAGCAGGGTGGGTGGCGCGTGGGCCCTGCTGTGGGACGCTCTGTGCGCCGGGCCTCCTGCGCGGCCGTCATCTCGGCCGTCCCCTGGCTCTGTGTGCTGGTGGCGTCCGCTGAACGGCCGCAGGGTTTCCCATTCCTCTTCTTCTGGCTTCCGGGAGCGGTTTCTGCTGTCCTGAAGTCTCCGTGTTTGTTGCCGCCCTGCTGCTGCGGGGCCGATCAGTAAGTACCCTGAGCTGCGCGCAGAGAGGATGTGGGGGGCGGTGCGCGCCCCCCCCCCCGAGTGCCTCTCTTGCCGCTGCTGGGCTGTTTGGGTCTGAGGCCGCAGGCTGGTGTGGATGTCCGCCGGCCGTCGTCGTCTGCTCGTCCTCAGCCGGTGTGGCTGGTGCATTGAGGCCGGGAACCGTGTCGCAGGACCGTGTTTGCCCACCTAGCGCACGCCAGCGTCACCCCGACTCCCTGCCAGAGCGCGGCCACTGGACCCCAGAGATGCGGTTCTAGCACGTTCTTCAGTGATGCTGTTGCTGTGGGGCCACACTAGGCTGGCTGCTGGGCCGCTGCTGTGCTGGGGAGCCCCCCCCAAGGGGATGTCTTGATGCCTCCGGGCAGACGCTCAGCCTGGTGCGGGGCCGCAGCCTCCACCCTGCCTGTGTCCTCAGATCCCTCCTAGAAGTCGGGGCCTGGCGTTGCCCGGGTGAGTGGGTGTGTCCGCCAGCCGCCCTCAGGTCCTCTGAACCTCCGCTCTGCGCGGAAGGTGCACGCGGCCACCGGGCCCTGGGGAACTGGAACGAGGCCGTAGAGGGCGGGCTGTGGGCTCCCCCCACTCGCCCTGCTGTCAGGTCGGCGGGCTCAGCCTCTGCTGGCGCTCCAGCTTCCCGCCCTTGACTTGTGCTTGCGACTTGTGTCTGTAACGAGCACAGCGAGCAACGGGTGTGTGTGTGCAGTGGGCACTGCCAGGTGCATTTCCCCCGACCCGGGGAGGGTGGGCCTGGCCGGCAGCAGGCTCCATCGCTGGCACGTCCAGGTCCGCTGTTTGCTGTCCGCGCCCGCGCGGTTCTGCTTTGAGGCTGAGGGAACTTGTCACTACGTCTCGTACGTGTCTTTGCTGGAAGAAGCTAGCCGACGGTTTGCAGTGTATTACAGGGAGGACTCAGCGTCCTGGCCTTGTGGGAGCACTGTGTCTGCGTAGGTGGCGATTCGTCTGGGAACTCTGAACCTGAAGTTTACATGGTGTTTGTTGTGAGCGTTTTGCTTGTTCTAGGTTGTGTTGTCCAAACCCTGAACTGGGCCCGTGGAGGTGCTTGTGGCTCTCACTGAGTCTGCAGGCTGGGCGCTGGGCTGGGCGCTGGGCAGGGCAGAGCCATCTAGACTTGCCGCTATGTCAGACAGACAGGTGCAGCCACCCAGTCTCTCCCAGGGGAGTCCCACGTGCGGTGTCGTCTGCAGGGACCTGACCGGCAGAGGAGGCGCTCGGCATGAACCTCCTCATTCCCGCCCTGTTGTCCCTCTTACCAGTTAGCGTGGCGCGCGCCCTCCGGAAACCCCAGTCCTGGCGCCAGCCAGGGGCCGCCTGGAAAGGAGGCCTTCGACGGGCCTGCAGCTGCTCAGACAGCATCTGTGATGGGCCCCGGGGATGGGGGACACGAGGCAGAGCGCGACCGCGTGGCTGGCACCCAGGGCCATGGAGTGTCCGGCGGGCGGTGGGGAAGGACCGTAGCTGTAGCTGAGGACGGCACGCCTCTCCTCGGCCCGCTCCCCTCGTGCTCTCCCTGCTGGCTGGGGACACAGGCCTTCGGCCAGGAGCGGAAGCCTCCGTTGAGTGTCTCTGTCCGCAGAGCTTGCTTCCTCCTCTCTGCCCTCAGTTTTTAGGTGGGTCTGGGCCAGGGCCTGGGCAGAACTGAGGGACACGGGGCCTGAGTGTTAGTCTCTGAGCAAACTGGCCACCGTGACGCCCAAGTTCCCAGAGCAGCGGGATGTGCTTTCGTTTTCTCGTGAACGAAAATTGAATGTTCCTGTAAGTGGTGCCAAGTGACAGGGACCATGGCAGACGTTTTCTTCTCTGGCAGAGGTCGTGGACCCCGTCTGTGAGTCCGTCCATCTGCCGATTTGCTGGGGCGGTGCCATGACACGAGCCAGGTGCTGAGTTCCCTTAAAGGAGTCAGCCCCCCAGATGCCTGCCGCCCCCCAGAGGCAAGTGGCATTGCCCCATTTGACGGGTCCTTGGTAATCAGGGTGTGACTGAGAGAGAGACGGAGACCTGGCGTCCCGGCGCTGTGGGCCCCGTGCGTGTAGCCGTTGGTCTGGGGGCCCAGCTGGGAGCACCCACGGCGTGGACAGCCCCTGGGTCTTTCCAGGCATCAACAGCTGAGAACAAGGACTCACTGTGCTTGCTGTCTTCCTACTTGTGGGAGTGTCTCTGTGGGCCCCGCCGCGCTCGCGAGGCCCGATGCGGCCGCGGGTCCTGTGGGTCACGCCGCTGCTGCTTGCCCGAGGCCGCCGCTGTGCCCCCAGCGGCTCGGCTCCGGGGGGCGTGGGCGTTAGGCCCCCATTTGTCCTGGGGGGGCGGTGAGTAGCTGCTTTCTTGTTGAAGAGCTTGGGGGTTTCAGTGAACTGATGGTTTATGTTCTTTTCCCGTTTGTGCTTTGGGTTTGCCGATCTTTTCCAGTAGGGACACGTGCCTTTTTATGTAGTAAGTCAGCCCTCGGGCGAGAGTGCTGAATGTTGTTTTGGTTTGTCTTTTGCCTGTTTTTTAAACGCTTTTTGGCCGGGCAGAGATTTTGGGTGTTATACTGAGGCTTTTTGCTTCGGTGTTTTCATTCATTTAGATTTTATGCCATCGTCCACCTTAATGCTCTAAGCCTATTACTAGGTTTTTAAATATTGGTTTTTCTGGTACTTCCACGTTTCTGTTTTTGTTTGTGTCGGTAGACTGTATTCTCGGTGGGGTCTTTCCAGAGGCCGACCCAGTGGCCCTCTGCCCACCGCCTCCCGCGCTCCGCTCCGCCGGGTCACTGCCGGGGCGCCCGCTCTGCACCCGCACTTGTGCTCTCGGACCCGGATATGTGGGCCTCGTCCTATTCCTTATTCTTCAAAGAAAATCCCCGTTGTAGGAAGAGTATTTCAGGGTTTTAGGTTGACACAGAATTGTTCTGCTGTCCTTGGGACGAGTGTGGCCGAGGGCACAGGTGCCTTCCTGTCGCTGTTCTGTTGTGTCTCCGAGCGCCTTGAAGCCGCTCTGTGCGTCTTTCGTGTTGGGCGAGTGGTCTGGTCCGTCGGCAGCGATCTCCATGCCTGTCCCTACACGTCCTCGCTGCTCCGCTTGCCTGCGTGACTTGTACACACACACACACACACACACACACACACACCTCTCTTGTAGTAAGATTCGGGACTGCTGGGTCCCCCCATGTGGCAGGCACGTCACCCACACACACAGCCGCCCTTTGCCCTTCTCAGCGTGCCTCTCCTGCACCTCTCCCCCGCCCCCCACGCCCGGACCCTGCAGGGTGGGTGGTGGAGGGCGGGGAGTCTGCCGCTGGGCCCTGGCGTGTACTGTACTCGGTGACCTTTCCGTGCCCCAGGGTCCCATCCGTGTGGGCAGGGCCTCTCCCTTGGTGGGTCCTGTGCACACCCAGGAGCTCCTGCTCCCAGGCAGTTAGCCAGGGGCCCGGTGCACAGTGCAGTTCTGATTACTCCCTGGGAGCCATCCTGGCCTTGCAGCAAACGCCCGCGGCCGTTCGGTGACCGAAGTACAGTTCTTCCTGTTCGGGTTTTGTGCTTGGCTTGTGGCTCACACCTTGGAATAGTGCTGATAACTCCCCAGCGGTGTTATGTAACGAAGGTGACCTTCGGAGCCGCCCAAGGCAGGGGCTGGCTGCCAGGAGGGTCAGCCAAGTAACTGGGGGCCGGGCCAGAGCTTGGTCCCCTCCCCGGCCTGGGCCTCCAGGGAGGGGAGGGGCCGGAGGTGGAGTCCGCCAGCGGCCTGTGCTGCGGCCTGCCTGCTGTGGGGCGCCTGCTAGTGGGTGCGCGGGGCCTTCCCCACCCCGCCCCCGCCCCGTGCCCCTCTGCTCTGGCTGGGGATGGCAGTTCCCGGTCATGGCCTTAAAGGACTAGGCAGACACGGGGCTGTGCTTCCCTGCGGTGCGTCCCGGGAGCCTCTAGCAAATGGAAGAGCGCGTGGGAGGTGGCAGCGCACAGCCCTCTGGTTGGAGCTCGGGGGTCCCTGAGGCTTGGGGGCGCCTGACATGGAGATGGGGAGGCCTGGCCCCTGCCGGCGTCTGAGGTTTGCTGGGTGTTCTGTGTGCCCGTCCCCATGTTGGGATCGGGAGCGGGGACCCTGCGAGAAGGCGAAGACCTTCCCGTGCCCCACGTAAGGCCAGGTGTTTTCTTTGGCGGAGGACGCGTCTCTGCGTCTCTTCTGGGAGCGCTGCGCCTGCGGGGGCGGCCTTGAACTGGTTGCGGGCACGGCCCACGCGGGTGTCGCCCTGTGGAGGTGGAATCCCTTTGTGGCCAGGACTGCGCCAGGCTGCGTGTGACGCATCCCCCGTCGCTGCCCTGTCCCTGACCAGGCGGGCTGGACGACACGCTGCACACCATCATCGACCACGCCTGTGAGCAGAGCGTCCCGTTCGTGTTCGCGCTCAACCGCAAAGCGCTGGGGCGCAGTCTGAACAAGGCCGTGCCCGTCAGCGCCGTGGGCATCTTCAGCTACGACGGGGCGCAGGTGAGCTCGGGGCCGGGCCGGGAGCCGTGGGCACGCGTGCAGTGTCCCCCGCAGGGCCACTCGGGGGCGGCTCTGTGCTTGCGCTGGCAGGCAGTACCCTTGCTGGGGTCCCCCTGCTTCACCCCCGCTCCCCGGTGGGCGGGGACCCGCGTCCTCTGGGGTCAGGGGAGTCATCCGTGCGCCCCGTCTGCCGCAGGACCAGTTCCACAGGATGGTGGAGCTGACGACGGCCGCCCGGCAGGCGTACAAGACCATGCTGGAGAGCGTGAGCCACGAGCTGGCTGGGGAGCCCGGCCCCCCGGCTCCCGGCGGCTCGGCACAGGACAGCCCCGCGGCTCCCGTGGCCGGGAGAGAAGAGCCGCGCTACGGTGAGTGCTGGGCAGGGCGGGGGACTGCGCGTCCTCGGGCTCCGCGTCCCCCTGGACGGACAGGCGGCAGAAGGCCGGGTCGGTCCCAGCTGGGCTCACACCTCAGGTCACATGGCGCCTGCAGAGCGTGGCCTCGAGCCCTGTGGGCCCCTGGCGGGAGGCTCTCAGACACAAACAGCGGGGGTGACGGGGTGGGGGCGGAGGTCCTCCCCAGGCTCCTGTAGGGACCTGGGCTCCCCTGGGCAGCCGCTTCCGCCCGGGCAGCAGAGACGGCCCCAGCTGTCCCCGCGTGTCCCTCAGCTGTGCCCCTTTGTGGTTTGTAGTGGAAATCTGGAGGCGACACCTGGAGGCGTACAGTCGCTGCGCGCTGGAGCTGGAGGCTTCAACCTCGCAGATGCGGAACCTGAGTTTGTAGCGCGTTGTGTGTCGCGTGCGGTAAGGAAGGGGGGCCTGAGAGACTCGGGGGCCCCTCTCTTCTCAGGCCTCCGCGGACCTGCTGTGCTGTGTGGCTTTTGAGTCGGGAGGTGAATCCAGGAGGCGTGTCCCGGGACCCCGGGCCCCGGGCGTGCTGGGGGAGCCTTGCCCGAGAGGCAGCTTTGGGTCTGAGCTATGCAGTCTGGGAACAGCTGGAAGGCGTGGCGCCCCGAGTTCTCTGCTGTGCAGACGCCCCCCACCCCGCAGAAGAGCTGAGCCGTGTCCGTGGGGGGGGGGCGCCGCTCTCGGGACCCGGCTTTTTGACTGGAAATGGGGGGATGTTTAGAGGGTCTGCTAAAATGAGCCTCGAGGAAAATCACTTCTCTAACCTGTGACCTTTTGACATGAATTGTTCCTTTTTGCTTCTATTTTTCAAAGAACCAATGTATGTTGACGTTTCGGGATTTGTCTCGCTGATCTACGGGCGTTTTCTTTTTTTTCTAAACGAATGTATTCTGAATGTGGCTTCTGTCGTGGAGGCCAGTGGGATAGAAGTTTGCTTTCATGTTTTGCTGTAGGTAAAAGGGTTTATTTATTTTGAATAAAGAGCGATGATTTGATCAGCCCGCGGTCTTAGGCTTGTGGGCACGTCCTGAGTCCGGGTGTGGCCCCTCAGGCACGGCGTTTAAGGGGACGAGGTTTGCTGGGGGGGCTGCTGCCTCAGCCCCATGCGACCTGGTGTCATGACGGGGCAGGGGCAGGACAGAGCAGAGCTTTGCCGCCCGGTGCGCGTGGGGCGAGCCGCGGGGCTCGTTGGCCTTGAGCGCACTGTTAGGGGACCTCGGTGGCGTCGGGCGTGGTTTGTCAGAGGTGAGTGGCCTGCGGGAGCCGTGTGACACCGCAGCTTCTCCCCCAAGGGGCAGGGCTCTCTCGCCTTCCTGCGCCAGCAGGTGCCCCGTCCCCTGCGGGAGGTTTGAGAGAGATGACAGGAAAGTCCTCAAGTTCATCTACAAGGAGAGCGGGACGTTTTGAACTGGCAGCAGGGCCCAGGGGTGCACATGAGCCCAGCGGGGCAGTGTGAGTGCCGTGTCGGGGCCACATGGTGCTTCGCGGGGGACTTACTGCTGGGGTTGGCCTGGCCACTGCGTCCCTCTGGTGGCAGAGGCTGCAGCTGCTGGGGCCGCACTGGCCTGTGCCCTCGGGGCCGCACCTCCCAAGCACATGCTCTGCTCACTGCGTTTATTCCCGTTTATTTTCTCAGCAGTGCAGACAACCCAGACGCCTAAGCTCGGGTCCAACCAGACCCCCACCCCCCACCGCGCTAGGCTGGGGGCACGCGTCTCATTGAGGTGTTGGCGTGAGGCATCCCCCACGTCCAGACCCGGGGCGAGTCTCCCGGCCGCGGAGAGCTGCCCCCGGAAGGGCCCAGGCCTCTGAGCCCGTCCCAGGGGAGCCCGGACGCGCGCACACCTCGCTGAGTGGGCGGCGCCTGCGTGCGGGCCCGGGGGCGGGGTGGGCAGGCGGACCCCGCCGCAAGCCGGTCCCCGCTGCAAGCCGGTGGAGACAGGTGCGCTCTCAGGGGTCCTCGGCCTCCGAATCGGGGGCGGGGGGTCCGGACACAGGCTGTAATCGTCCGTGTGCGGGGGGTGCAGGGAGGTTCTGGGAGGGGTGGACTGGCTGCGGGTTACCGTCATTTCATTAGCAGAAGGTGACCAGGGTCTGGGCTGTGCAGCGTCAGGCCTTCGGGTCCCGCACAGGGTGTAGCCCCGTCAGCAGAGGCTCCCCCGTGGCTCCGGCACGGGGCACGCCAGCTCAGGGCACGCACAGAACATACTCGGAGGAGCCGTGTGCCGAAGCCCGCGGAGCCCTCAGTGCCCGGAGCTCCTGGGGGGGGGTAGCTCCTGTCACTCAAGGTGTCAGGCCAGTTGCTTCCATTGGTCTCACTGGGCCTGTCCCTGGCACGTGGGAGCTCAGTGAAGGTGGGAGCAGCGGCAGGCTGGGGACGGGGCTGTTGTGTGGGCAGGGAGGAACAGCCGGGGAGCACAGCAGCGGCGTTTCTGGAAGAGGAGCCATCATGCACGCCGCTGTCTGGCATCGAATCTGTAGCTTAACGGTCCTGGTGTCCTGTGTCCGCCAGACAGCCTCTCCTGTCCCTTGCGAGCAACTAAGTCTTTAAAGTTTTGGCTGCTGTCTCGGCGGTTGAGGTGAACCCCATCTCAGCAGGCCAGGTGACAGCTCACTGTCCTGGGGCCTCTCCGGGGGCGGCGTGGCAAGGGGCAGCGGGCTCAACTGCGGTCTATAAGTTGTCCTTGTCACAGTTTTCCTGAAAGAACAATGCAGGCCCCTTTGAATTCCTGGCAGAACAGAGGCCCTCCCCCCAAGACGCAGGAGGTGGCCTTTGGGGAGGGTGTCCTGTGCGGGCTGAGTTCAAAGGCATTGGTCAGAGAACCTGAGCCCGTGTCGGCAACAAGGAGAGGCTGTAGGTGGCCACTGCGGCCAGGACGGTGGAAGCCTGCCGTGGAGCTCCAGGGCGCCTGCCCGGCCGACTCCCGGGCCTGGGGGCCGCCTGTCCTGCCGCCCCTGGGTGCCTGGACAGGACTCCCTGCGGGCTCAGCGAGAGCCTGTGGCCCTGCCGCCACACGTGCCCCCCAACTGGAGTCTCCAGAAGAGGCCCTCCTCGCCCCACCGTGCTGACACTCCCTGGGGATCTGCCTGGAGTTCAGAGCCCGAAGGTTCCTGAAGGCAGAACAGCTCTGTGGGCCCGCCCTGCCGGCCCCTGCCCGCTCTCAGCGCGGCCACGTACCCACGCCTTCCTCCAGCTCTGCATCACGCGGTCATGCTCCCCGGCCACAGCCCTCCAGGCCGCGAGCTCTCTGGTCCACTGCTCCTGGTGGGTCGCCTCTGCAAGACAAGGGGTGGGCGATGCCGGGTGTCAGCCTCACTGGCCCTGGTGGCTCTTGGGTCCATGCTGTCCGCTGAGGCCGTCCGACAGCCGGGTTTCGGGCGAGGCGTTCATGCCTCCAAGCCTGCCTTCCTGGCTGTGGGGGCTTCCTCAGGCCAGCGGCCCCAGGAGTGGCTGGTCCCCACGGTCACGCCGGCCCTGTCCTCGTCTCGCAGGCAAGAGAGGGGCTAGTGCCCCCCGTCCTGGGGCTGGTGCCACCTCCCCTGGGAGGCCTGTCCCGAGTGAGGCCGGGGAGTCCGCGGCGCAGCAGGCTGGTGCTGTGGCGCGCTCGGCTGCTACCTGCTCCACGTGGCTGCCGCGGCAGCTTGAGCTGAGGGTTCGGAAGCCAGTTCTGCGCGGCGCTCTCGGGGCGGCACGAGCCCAGGTGCTGCAGTTACCAGACCGCGTCCCTGATCAGGCCCGCGACTCCTGCTGCTAATTTCAGAAACGGGTGCCAGGGACCTGCGCCCCGAGATACAGAGCAGAGCTCCTTCTGTGAGCAGAACTGGCAGGGCCGGGGCAAGCGCTGCAGAGGCGTCTTCGTGGGTCCTTCACCCCAAGGGCATCTGGAGGGACTTCGGCTCCCACCCTGCAAGGAGCCCCGCGTTCTCCAGGCCCCACAGCTTCAGGAGACACCGCGGGCTCGGCAGACGGGCAGAGACTGGGCTGTCCCGGCCGGCGTCCCTGCCCCCCGTCGCGTCTGTGCAGCGGGTACACCGGCCCGCGCTCGCGTTAGGTCCTGCTGCTCCCACACCGGTGCGCTGGTGACCGCGGGGCAGGGGTCGGGGGAGCAGGATCACCTCGGGGGCCCTCGCGACTGTGCCGCCAGTGCCGGTCTCGCGGTTTCTGCAGGACACCTCGTGGCTTGTGAGTCAGGCTTACGTGAGGAGTCCGAGTGTCCGGACGGTGGCGGGGCGGGGGTACTTAACGGAAATGGGAGGACCAGGTTGTGGGCGGGGCAGAAATTTGCAGTTTTCTCTCCCCAAACTCTCACCAGAAGGATGGGGGCCTTTCCAGCATCTCCTAAGCATCGATGGAAACTGTTGAGGACGGACTGGAAACAGGAGGGGAGCACAAAACCTGGAAGCTGGAAGCGGAGGCGCCGGCGGGGCCAGAGCAGACCGGGGAGCGCGGCGCCCTAGGCTAGCAGCAGGGGAACAGGCACACCCTCCCCGAGACGCTCGGCGCCAGGACAGGCCTCCAAGGCTGTCTGGAAGCAACCTGTGGCTCCGGGGCCCCTCCTTGCTCCACACCATGCCAGGCGGTCCCACGTTTGGCAGGAGAGTTCCAGAAAGAGCACGGGACATAAAGTGGAGCAGAGGATCTCTTGGAGGAAAGGAAAGGGCAGGCTTCCTGGTGCCATGGGCCTGGCCAGGCCTGGAGACACTGTGGCATGAGTGTGGATCATGTGGATGGGGGTCTGGGAAAGCCACATGCAGAGCCTGCGGAGACATGGGGCAAACCTCCACGGGGCACGCGAGACCTTTTGGGCCAGCACTGTGCACCCCGCCCGGTCCTCTCCGTGTGAAGCCAGAGCTGGGGCCTTTGGGCTCTCAGAACGCGGCCTTCCCAGCACCGCCCAACGGAAACCCGGAGTGCAACCTGGCAGGCGTGTGCGCGGGGTGGGTGTGTGACTGGGGGTGTGGACGCGGAGGGACACCACTCACCGTGTCTCATGACGGTGACCCGCACGCTGGAGGTCCTGTTGCCTGCGGAGGAGAGGATGGAGCAGCGGTACTCGGCGCTCTCGCTGACGGTGTCCCGCAACCAGCTGAGCGCGTGGGTCCTGCCGTCGAGCAGCGCGTGGCTCTGCGTGGGGACACACGTTTCCAGCTCACGGCCGTTCTTCTCCCAGATGAAGTGAATGTCTGCAGGACCTGGGGACACAGAGACATCTCACCGGACCTTGCTACCCCCACCTGTGACCAAAAGGCAGAGTGGGGCCACCCCTGCTCTCCCCAGCACTGAAGGGGGGGGTCCAGCCAACCCGGGGGGCAGGATGGGTGCCGGGGTGCCGAGCGAGACTGAAGGCCCCTCTCTCTGCTGTCCTCTCCCCCACACTTGTGCCAGGTGTGGGTGGCACCAGCAGCCGGGCTGGGTGCCAACCCAGATCCGGTCGTGCCTGAGAATCCATTTCGTGAAGCAGGATTCTACCCAGCCGCTCCCCCAAGCTGGGGACGACATAAGCGGCGGTGTCGTGGAGGACGCCGGGCAGAGGATGGACGCCGTCTGTGGCTGTAGTTCCCCGAGCCCAGCAGGAACCTGCAGCCCAGCGGCTGCACCCAGGACACAAAGCTGCGGTGCGGGAGCAGGTTGCATGGCATGGGGCGGTGTTGGCCACGGCTGGCTTGAGGAGGAAGAGCTCCAGGACTGCCTTCCCGCGATTCCTGCGTGACTGGCGTGGCCCCGCCCCACCCTCGCCCGCGAGGCACCGCGCTCAGCATGTTCGAGGAGCTTCCTCCCGAGGGAAAGTCAGACGCGGACCACACAGCCCGGGGACGAGCCCCGAGGCCGGGATGAGAGCGCGGCCGGGCCGGGCCCGCAGAGCTGTGTCCGTAAGACGTTGGAGACGAATGACGAGGGTCACAGACCCGATGTGACGGACACCCGTGTTGTCATCTGCGAGTCACGTCTGAGACCGTACCCCAGGGAAATGCCATCGTGTCACAGGAGACAGTTACGCATCAGTGTGTGCATGCGCGCACAGACGTGTAGGCGCCCGGAGAAAAGGCCTCCACGGGCCGTCGCGCTGCTGGCAGCTGCCTGTGGGTGGCGCACGGCGAGGCGCTGCGATCCCGCTCTTTACGCTTGCCTGGAGTCCCAGACCCACAACAGCAAATACTGGTTTTGCCGTGAGAACAAGGCACTTTGAGGAAAGAAACATGCCGAGGCCGTCAAGGAAATTCTGGAAGGCTTCGCTCAGAAGTGGTTCACACAGCAGCTGCCTGGCCACATCGGCCGCGGGGACACAGTGGCTTCTCTCGTTTTCTGTGTGGGCTTCCGGGACTTCAGCCCGTTGCTGTACCTTGTTTTCCCTCAGCGTTCTGTCCTCCGTCGAGGACCGCATATGTGTAGCACCCATGGCACGCCCGTGCCGGCGCCCCTACTGTGGCTGCTGGGCCGCCGCACGCCAGCCCGCCCGGCCGCGGATGCAGGTCTGGACAGGGATTCCCATGAGGCACCGTGATCGGGAAGGGAGGTGGTCCGTGTCCGTTCCCAAGAGCCCGGGCTCCCGCTCGCCCCCGACTGCCCCGTGCCGCCGTGCGCGGGATCCTCCCAGGGCTGGAGCCACCAGGATGCGTCGCAGGAGCTTCCGGAAGGTTCTCACGGTCAACTCGGACAAAGAACTGGGGTGGCCTGAGCTGGCGCCGATTCCTCACCCTGAGCCGGGACCCGAAGGAGCGAAGCATTCAGCTGACCACACTGCGGGGCCCGGGCTGAGCACAGACGACGTGCCGCTCGGTCCTGAAAAGCTTCGTCGTCAGAGCTTCAAGCGCGTGCTCAGCCCCAAGAAAGCTTTAAAAACGTTAAAGGGGAGCTTCTGTTTTACTTACTCTGTTTAAAACTCTGCAGCTCCTTCCGAATGCAGGGAAGAACAAGGAGGCAAAGTGACCGTTAAACCCATTAGCAAGGTCCGCACCCCACTATCAGGCCCAGACAGCAGGCCGTACCCCCCTACCCCGGGGGCCTCGTGCAACCCCGCAAGGCCACGCCCTCGTGCCCTGGGCATGCGGCATCTCTTCTGGGCCCTAGGACGGTGCCCCTGGCCTCAGGTTCCAGTACCTACCGCGGGGTCAACGAGGTGCAGGGGCCATTGGCTCCAGCCTGCCCCCCCAGCCCCTCAGCCTGTGTAACAAAACCAGAGCCCCTCAGAGCAGTGGCTTCTCACCAAGGGAGGATTCTGGAAGCAGGCCTGAGAGCCCCGAGTTGGAGGGGAGTGTGATGGGGTCCACTCCCAAGTTCCCGGGCCACATTTGTGACAGGCGTCCCCACTTGGCATCCCCATGCCTGTGGTCTACCCTGACCCTGGGGCCAGCCTGCCGCTGTGGCCTCCCACCGGCTCCTGGCTGCACCCGGGGGCGGTGCTCACACCGGGCCTCCGGGGGCCGGACGCTGTCCGGCGTGGCCAAGTTCACAGCTGCGCAGAAGTCGGGACGCTGCCGGGGTGGGGGGTCCTCACCTCCCCAGTTGCGTCAGCCTTCCTCCTTGAAGCGGCCAGTGCCCTGCGGTTGGCTGAATAGTGGCCCCAGAACGCGCAGGTCCTAATCCCTGGAGGCGCGTGTGGCTAAACGCGCTTTCCAGACCCCATCGTGGGGAGGGGGGTGGTCGCCGGCTCGGGTGCACAGCCTCACGGGGTGCCAGGTGCTTGGGACCGATGACCGCGCACGAGGACGAGCCCAGCAGAAGGGAGAGCAGCTTCAGCAAGAGCGCCCCGCGGAACCCGCTGAGGATCGAGACCCCACAAGGAGACCGGTCAGCCTTGCCCACCCATGGAGGGGTCTGTGCCCTCCTGGGAGGCGACCCGCTCGCGAGTCGGCTACCCCCACAGCCCAGCCTTGGCCTTTCCCGAGCCCCCGCCCTGAGTCACGCCAGCACCAACAGCCACCACGGGCGCTCACAGGATATTTCGGCCGCGCACCTTCTGCGGCCCCCGCGGCACCCGGGGGCTGCAGGGACTCGGGTGTCCAACGTCACGGTTAAAACATACAGGGCCATCAAAACCCCAAACAGCCAAGCGTCACCTGTAGTGCAGCGGTTCTGTTCTTAGCTTTAGAGGGGACGAGGCCTAAATGAGCGGGAAGCACAGTCCCGCGGATGCGGCGGCCCCTGGGGCACACAGCTTGGCTTTCCTTGGAAAGGAGAGCCCGGAGCTCCGGCCTGCGGGCGCGGCGTGGTCTGCACGTGCAGGAAGGCGGACACGTACGGGTCCCTCGCTACCGTCCCCGTGTCCGTCTGTACGCGCCCTAACACAGCTACGGACGACCGCTTGTCCCGACTCCTGCCACGAGGGCCACGGGGTCGTCATTCTTGAAAAGTCTGAAACACGGCCACACGCCGACTTCCATCGCTCCGGCCCAGGACCCGTTTCCTCGACTTGCCAGTGTCTTCCCGACCGCAGGTGCACGCGCACGGCTCACCGCGGGGCAGGCGGCAGCGTGGACGTTCCTGGAAGCCGGACTCGCCCCCGGCACGCTCGGGCCTGGGAACGGAGGCGCGGCCGCTGAGCACAACCCACAGCCCGCCACCGGGGCGTGGCTTGCACACCCGGACACACGCACACACCCGCGGGGCAGATCAGGAGACGGAGGGAAGAGGGTGGGCAGAGAAGCCCTGAGAATCACTGGGCGACGAGCCACGCCTGTCACAGGCTGGCCACCTGGCCTGGGTTGGGTCACGGCCCCAGGCTCTGTGAAGTGGTTTAATAGGGACAGCCCTGTGGTGGCCCCGGGCCTGCGGCCAGAGCGGCAGCTTGAAAAGGCCTTAAGCTGTGGTACCCTCCGTGACTCCCGAGTCGCTGTCCTTTAGAACACCACATACTTGGACCACCACTTGCACGGTGGGCCAGCCCCGGCTCGTGGCCGGGGCTTAGGGGAAGAGAAACCCAGATGTCCCCGTGTAGTCAATGAGGCTGGCAGGCTGGCCTCAGGGCGAGGACTGCGGGGGGCCTCCGCCTGCTGGGCTGCTCTGGCAACAGTGGTCTCCCAGTGTGGACGCGAGCGCCTCCACGTTGGCTGGGTCCTCCCCCAAGGGCCGCCTCCTGGCTTTGCCTGCTGGGCGCTCAGGTGAGGGTTCTGGAGGGTGGGGTGAGGGCACCGGGATGTGGCCGCTCCCCGCCAGTGCTCTCCAGCACCCACTTCTCAGTCACCACTGCGCGGCGGGGCGGCCTCCCTCGGGGCCACGGCACTCATGCCTGCCTCCGGGAGCCCCACTGTGGCGTGTGTGCACCGTGTGCGGGGTGTGTACTGAGCCCGCTCTGGGCAAATGCGGGGCCCTCTCCCTTGGGTGGAACAGCACATGCGGGCTCCTTGGGAAAGATTGGTCCTTCCTGGGCCACCTCCCAGCCTCAGATGGGGCCACACTGGAACAATGGGAGGTTCTAGGTGGGCCAGTGTCCCTGGGAATTGAGCATGGGAGGAGGGCGGGGGCCATGGGCCCTCCGCTCAGTCCATCCCGAGCGCTGCCCCTCCACGCTGCCCCTCCACGCTGCCCACTTCTGCCCCGGGCCACAACGCCACCAGCCACGGTCCCCATCCTTGGCCCCCAGCAGAGGTGCATCCTGCTGGCGCTGTGAGCGGGATCCCACCCCTTCTCCCCGGCTGCCTGCAGCTCCACCACTAACGGCCCGTGCTGGGTCCCTGTTGAAGCCCAGTGTGGTTCCTGCTCTGGCTGACGGTGGTCTCTGTCCCCCAGTCGCAGGGACAGCACTGCTGCACGTGCACACCTGCGGACGGGTGCCTGAGAAGCCACGTGTAAGAGCGTTTGACTCCCGGACACATGACCCTCCTGCCCCTGTGGGTTGTATGACCACACGCTTTCCCTGTGACAGGGACGATGTCCTGCCCGGGGAGGCCGCAAGGGAAATCGCCAGGCCCCGGAGCCACACGGGGGCCCAGCACAAACCAAGGCCAGGCATGGAGCAGGCGACCCAGGACCACACAGACCTGACCCCAAAGGTTTCTCCACAGCGTGCCACACACAGGCCACTTCCCCTGCAGCCGCGCAGGCAGTCCGCGACCCCCACGGGGCACGCCACCGCTCGGAGCCGGCTCCACAGCCCGAGTGGCTTCTCGCAGTTTAAAATCTCCAACAGAAACCGCCTGTGCCTGTCCTCCTCCTGTGCTCTAGTCGTCCCCTCTGGGCATGGAGGAAGGGGCCCTGGCCAGCGGCTTGGCCAGACCACGGCCGTGCAGCGGCCCCTCCCAACATCTCCCGGGCCACCAGGCTCTCAAGCTGTCCCGTGTCAGCATCACCACCCAAGTCACAGCGCCCCTTCTGCAGGCTCTGGAGTTAACTTCTCCGGCCACAGAGACCGAGCCCTGAACGGGCGGCACTCACACAGCCCCACGAACGGCTGAGCAGCTAACCGAGGTCTTGGGGCCCGGCGCAGCCCGCCTGTGGGTGGCCTGGAGGCTCGGAGGCAGAGCTGGGCACTCGCGACCGAATCCATGGCCGTGAAGCCCCCGGCAGGGAACACTGGTCCTCAAAAAAGCCACTAGCCCCTGTCGCAGGAGGGGCTGCGGGCCGACACTGCCCACCCCACCCAGCCCGGCGCCCTGCTTACCTGTGGCCTGACAGAGGAGCTGGAAGGTCCCCGGGGCACGCACGTGCTGGGCCTGGTCGCTGAGGAGGGGCGGCAGCAAGGTGACGGGCGGGCCGCTGTCAGACCCCGAGGCGGAGGCCGGCCGGGGGCTTCGGGGAGAGGAAGCGGAGCCAGGGCCCCGACAGGACAGGGAGGAGGACCCCGGAGGAGGGAAGGGCACAGACGAGGCTGCGAGACAGAGGACAGAAAAGAGGCCGCTGAGGCGGGCGTCGTCAGGATCCCACCGCACACCAGAGGAAGGAAGCAAAGCACCGGAGAAGGGCGGGCCCCGGGCGGTCCGGAGACCTGCCCCTGGTCAGCGCCCCACGGGTGGGAGGGACGGGCGGGGGCCTCCCGGCGGCCGCGGCAAGTCACAGGCCCACGTCAAGGATAGAAGGTTCTTGTTTATTCGGTTATTTTTCAAATGTATACAATTCAAAGTAGAAAAATAAAAACAAAGTAAATCTTATAAAACACAAATGTTTACACCAAAACGGTTGAGTCTCATGCTGAAGAGGACATTGTCCACGCAGGCACAGAAATCCGTGTGCTGCTCCCCACCCGGCAAGTGCGCCGCCGCCTCCGCGCACGCAGCAGCAGGTGCACCGAGACGGCATCACGGCCAAACCGTCCTTCCCGTGCGTGCCGTGACAGACCGCGCCAGCCACGTGGGCCGCCCTGCGGCTCCGCAGAGTGTGTTGAGACAGGCCTGTCCGGCCGCCGCCGCCCAGCTCACGCACAGGTGGGGCCAGGCTCTGGTCAGTGGAGCGGGGCGTCCCGTGGGGAGCGGCCGTGCGCAGGAGCCGACAGTTACAGAAGCCGCGCAGATGGCAGATGGCGCCCCAGCGGAGGTCTGTCTGTCCGTCCGCACAGGAGTTTTCGAGCAGCAGCTGTGAGCATCCGATGGCAAGACACGCACCCCCTCGGCCCTGGGCCGGGCGTCTCCTTTGATCCTGGGGACCCCGCCAGGCTCATCGGACAGCCACCCACTGGCCTCTCTTCTTCGAAAGAATTTAAACAGAAAAAAAAAGTACAGAAAGAAAATCTCTGAGTAGGACGCTTCCCTCAAGGAATAAAGTTAAAGAAAAAAGAAAAAATACTGGTGTGCTCAAGAGATGGTTTTGTCCATGTGTCTGGAAGCAGAAGGAATGCATTAGCCAAAGCAGGTTTATCCCTGAGAATCATAAGCAACGTAAGCTGGAGCCTGTCCTCGCAACCGAAGCTGGAAGATGTACGTCTTCTAAACATTAAAACATCTGCTTTAGTGACTTAAAAAACAAACGACCCAACACAGAAAAAGTAAAACGCTATAAGATAATCCCATGGAAGGAAAGGTTCGTGCCAATCTGGACAACAGGCGCTAAGTTACCAATCTGATAAACAAAATGTCGTTTCCAATCTGGAAGGAAACAATCTTTCAGTGGCTGCTGCTCTGGGGCGGGGGCTGGGGGGCACCGGAGGCGCGAAGGGCCGCGGAGAGCTGGGGCCAAGGGGAGCCACCACCGCAGCCCGCGGTCCCCTCCCTGCCCATGGCCCACCACAGGAGGCCGGCGCGATGCTCTCCGCTTTCCAAAAGGACAAAGAAACCAACTCACAAGCTCAACCCGAGGGAAGAGACACAGAAGCAGGTGCACAGACACGGGCTCCCCACACCACCCCGGGCCGGGCACGCGACGCCGACCGGGGGCCTCCGCACAGCCGCCTCAGTCCACGTCCGCATCCGAGTCGGCGTACTTGAGCTCACACTTGACGTCGAAGGGCCTGTCCCGGCCGGGGAGGTCGTCAAGCCGCTGCGAGTCCTCCCTGTCGGTGGGCGCCCTGCTGGCCGTGGTGTCCTGCTCCGTCTCGTAGCCGGTGTCCAGGGCCGGCCGCGGCTGCGCCCCGTTCTGCTGGGAGGAGCTGCCCTGCTCCACCAGCGTCTCCTTCACGCTCTGCTCGAACTCGGAGAAGTCGGCCGCGGGCTGCTTCTTGGCCAGCAGCACGGCGGAGCGGAACTTGAGGCACTGGCCGGGCAGGTAGCCCTTGTAGCAGTTGTAGGAGAGGAGGCCGAGGCAGAGCAGGAAGCAGAGCAGGAAGAGGACCATGAGCGGGCGGTTGTCGCCGGACTTGAGATACACGGTCTTCTCCGAGTGCACCTGCGGCACCGTGTTCACCACGGTCTTGGGTTTGCACGACGCGCTGCTGGGCGCGGGGCTGGGCGGCGGGGCCACGGCCCCCTGTGCGGGGCCCAGCACCGCCGGCGTCTGGGCTGGGGGGCCCGGGGTGGGCTCCGTTGACACTCTGAGGGGGGTCCTGTCCCCTTCAGCGTGGGTGGCCGGTGCGGTGGAGGCCGCAGGGGTCCGCGGGAGCACCCTGACCTCCAGAGCGTGCCTGGCCGCCACCTGCAGCACCGTCGTGTTCCGGAGCCTCTCCTCCGACAGGCACCGGTACACCCCGCTGTCTCCCTCCGACAGGTTGAAGACCAGCAAGTCCTTCCTGCCCACCAGGCCATACTTGGGGCCCTCGGCCTTGAGCTCGTTGTTCTGGAACGTCCACACCACCCGGGCCAGGTTGGACTTCGGGGAGCATTTCAGCTCTGCCGTGCCGCCGTGCTTGAAAAAATGCTGCCGCAAACTTCCTTTAGTTTGATCTGGAACATCAAAATAAACGTGCACAGTGTCAACAGCCCGCTGGCCGCCTCCCTCCTTTTACAAACAGGTTAACACGCACGAGGACACAAGCTTTTCACCCACGGAGCAACACGGGATCTTCCAGGACGACTAAGGAGATAAAGACACGCGTGACAGAACGGCAACGACGAGCCCCGGTGGCAGCCCAGTGGGACACGGCACCCGGAGGCCACCGGGCGGCCGGGATGACGTCTGGAGCCCTGGTTTCCTGGGAGGCCGAGTGGCCGCACCCGAAGTCGCACACCACGCGCGTGGCCGGTGGCTGCAGGGCTTGCGGCCTCCTGGTGTGCCCAGTGCCCCTTCCTGAAGCTGCCCCAGCTGATGACAGCCATTGGGTCAGGGACAGGAGCGCGACTGCCTTCCAGGGGACACAGGGATGAGCCTGACCCGGCGGTGGCCTCGCAGAGGGGCTGAGGACTCTGCTCTCGCCTCCCTCCCTTCCACTGCCAGGTTGTCTGGGCCGTTGAAGCAGCCCCGAGCTACGCGGAGGAGAGCAGCGTCTCGAGAGCTGATGTCCTGGGTTGGACAACACATGTCTTTCTAGGAAAAGACCCGCTATGTGGCTTCAAACACCCTTTTCTGCAAGTCAAAGGGAAGGCGGGCCAGTCCCAGTATCCTCATGGATACTCGCCCTCCGTTCTGGGGACAGAAGGGGGAACACGAGGTACAAGATGGCCCAGCAGTACAGCACTGCGGCCCGATGATGCCCGGTGCCTGGGAGCAGCGCAGCGACAGGGACCCACTTACTCGGGCAGCCAGATGTGTCTCCGCTCATGCGCTGGATCAGATCCCTGCAACACAAGCAGGCACGGTCACACGTGGGCACGCGTGCAGTCGGTCATGCACGCGCCTACCCCACCGGCGGGTGAGCCGGCTTGCTGCGTCCCCTGGTACCTGCTGCGGCTGTCCGGGTGCAGGGCCACGCAGGCCTGGCCGGCCGGGCTCCAGGCACAGTACGGGTCCCGGGCCAGCACGCAGTCCTCGCAGGTGGCGTGCTTCTCGCAGAAGGCCACGGGGGCCTGCACCACGCCCGAGCTGGAGCCCGCGTAGATGAACTTGCTGCCCTGCGGGGGTGAGAGGGGGCAGGCAGGTGAGGGGGCGGCCATCCAGGCGCACCACCAGGGCTTTTCTAGGGCGTGTGTGCGTGCATCTGCTCATCGAGGAGCCTCCAGAACCATGAGCAGGCGGGCATCGTGGGGTCTCCCAGCCGCGTCCACTCATGGACTCCGCCCTCCGGGCCCCCGCGCCCTCTTCCTCTCATCCAGGGACCTGCGTGGATGCAGGTCTCCCTCTGTGCACAGAGCCCCTCCAGCCGCGCACTCCCCGCCCCACCACCCGTCAGAGATCAAACGGCACAACTCGGAGCCCCAAGTCAGGCCTGCCCAGCCTGAGCAGCCGTGCGCCGACGGCTTGAGCGGGTCCCAACCTGGCGGGGCCAGGAAAGGTGCCCAGTGGCAGGGGAGCGTGCAGGATCCCAGCATGTGGGACCAAGGACGTGCCAGGCGCTGTCATGTCCAGGTTTGCGAGGGAGGAGCACGCGGACGGCGAGGCCAGCAGACCGTGCGGCGGAGAGCCCGGCTCAGGGCAAGGCTGACCGCTCTCCATGCCTTGGGGATGGGGCTCCCGCACAGGGACGCTGCCTGACAGGCAGCCACGGCCGAAGGACTGCAATTCCGCACTTGCGTCTACACTCTCCTCCCCGCGACCCCCACCCAGCACCCCATCTTTTGGTTAACCCTGGGATTTGCGAGCTTAACAGAATTCAGTTTCAGACCCAGATGGGGCACAGCCCTCCCCTGGGGAGACCGAGTCTGGCTGGTGCTCCTGTTCCTGAGGCCGGCCTCCGTTTCCTAGCCTGTGACCCTCCCCACCCCCGCTCTGCACAGGCACAGCTGGAAGGAGGTCCCCTCTGCAGCCGACCATCCTGTGATAACAAGCTGCAGGCCCAGGGCCAGCCCCTCCCTATCGGCAGGGACCGGGCAGATGAAGCCACGTGCCTGCTGGGAGGACCGAGGATGCCACACTAGATCACGGTCCAGGAGTCACGTGGCTCACAGCTGAGGGCTTCCGGGAGGGCCGAGCGGGCAACTTCGAGGGACCCTGGGGGCTGTGGGCTCCCATCTCCGCATACATCCCCTCCCTAGGGCTGGGCTCCCATAAAGCACAGCCACCAAGTACCCGATACCGAGAGAAGGGGCAGGAAAACACCTGCTGGGGCCGCGATCGCCGGCAGGTGCACGAGTCTGGGGGCCGGAGGAACAACACAGCAGCCTTGAGGTCTCCGCACAAGCAAGCATCAGGCACCACAGGCTGAACATAGGCCCATGCGCCCCAGCCAGCAGCGTCCCAGACCCTCAGCCCCGTCCAAGCACGAGGAGACCGCAGTGGTCCGCAGAACGCGGGCCAGTTCTCTGTAGTTAACCGTGCCACCAAGACAAAGACCGATGGGGACTGGCCCCGGCCACAGGGGCTGAGGAGTGAGGCGTCCCAGGCCAAGCGAGGCTCCGGAAGTGGAGCAGATGATTGTTCGGACTGGCGTGGGGGTGGGGGGGACGACCAGACGTCTGGGGTCCCGTGGGCGCTGTGCCCACGGAGCCCCTCCACATGGAAAGAAGGCCCAGGGTCCCCGCCCCTCATCCCAACACCTCTGTGGACCTCACACTGCTGCATAATAAAAGGTGTTTAAAAGGATAGAAAAACCACCTGACCAGGTGTGAGGTCTGGTGCGCGCGCTCGTGCCCTGGCCCTCATGGGTCCCCATGGCCCTGGGAGTCCAGGGCTCAGGCCCTCCCAGCTAAGTCATGGTGTAGACAGCCTCGTCCGACCTGTGGTGGGGTCTGGAGCTGAAGGAGGTCTGCAAAGAACGCCCCTAACACGCGGATGCAGCCCGCCGCCTGGCTCGGAGGGGACCAGACAGCACATCTGCCACCTATTTCCACATGACCCGAAAGCAGGACTCCGATGTCCGTGCACCCCGCTCAGGGCAGCCCAGGCTGGAGGCGGCCTGCGCGCCCGCCCGCAGATGGCGGGACCCAGGATGTGCGTGTGCGAACTGCGGAGCGCTCCTCCTGGAAGAGGAAGGAAATCCTGTCACATGCTGCACAGCTGACCCTCGAGGACATCGCTCAGTGAGCTAAGCCAGTCACAGGACAACAAATACTGATCCCACTTACATGTGGTCCCCGGGGTCCTCAAATCCCAGAGACAGAACGTGAATGGTGGGTGCCAGGGGCTGGGTTAGTGCTCAGTGGGGAAAGGGTTTCCGTTTGGGAAGCTGAGAAGGTTCTGGAAATGGTAATGCTGCTGCGCTGTGCACGTGTGAATGGTAGAAAGGGTAACTGATCCACACGTCTTCACATCAATAAACCACGAAAGAATGCGCGTGTCCTCGGGCAGCATGGCCCAGCCTCTCTGTTCCCACAGTGGTGGCCGCCCGCTGGCTTCCTACTGCCAAGACCCGCCTGACTGCCCGCAAGAGCCTAAACTCGGCTGGCGGCGGGGGTGGGGGGGCGCTTTTTTGCCCTGACATCCACTTCCTGCTGCCGTGGCTGCACACCCACCATTCCAAGCCCCCCGAGCCCGCCCACCCTGGGAGAAGGCGTGGGGGTCCGGGCATGCACGCTGCCTTCCCACTGGTCTAGGCCCAGTGCAGGGGCCCCCGTGAGGACAGACACATGGCCCCCAACGGCTCCCTGTGTGGCCTGCCCCCTGGGCACGGGCACATGACCAAGTCCTGGCCACAGGCAGGTGAGCACGTGCTGAGCCATAACCACCTTCCCCACCCCTCATCCCTCTCACGGGACGACTGCCCTCGCGCCCAGAAGCCCGACTGTCTGCACGCCACTGCGGAGGAGCCGTGGTCTCCCCGCACCTGCCCCGGGGAGCCCAGCCTTTGCTCTGAGGCTTCGGACAACCTGGAGGCCTCAGGGTCTGGACCGCTGCCTGTGAGCAACATGCCCCGGGGCGGGCGGGAGGGCTGCCCGCTTCCTGTTTCCACAGCAAAGCCGGGGATGGGGTGGGAGCAGGGGAGGCACCTGCCGCTGGAAGCTCGCCTAGGCTGTAGGGTCATCTACCCCTCAGACGCCGAGACAGAAGGCACACACAGCAGTGGCTGGGAGGGGACGGGACCCTGTGACGGGAGTCGGGACACCAGATGCAAGGACGTTAAGCTCACCATGAAGGGGACCCGTGGGTGCCCGAGAAGTTGGCTGCTTCCCTCGTCTCCTGCCTGGCGGCCAGGCCCCTTGCTTCCTACTGTCCCCACCGGAGCGCAGGCTACAGGGACACACGGAGGGTCTGTCAGACCCCCTCCTGCAGTGGGACACTGTCCGCACCCAGCGAGGAGGCTCGGGAGCATTCTGGGTCAAACTGGGAGGCCTCAGCAGGTGAGCAACGCCCTCTAAAGCAGGCCCGGCGGAGCCAGGCTGCACACATGGGGCCAGGCCGGGCCCAGCTCTGCAGCTCACGGAACAGGCACGCGGGCAGCCCCTCGGGCTGGGGCTCACAGCACGGGGACGCCCGCACGGAGAGGTGAGGCCTTTGGCCGCAGGGCTGGGCCACTCACAGGGTCTGCTGTCCCCCAGGTACACCAAGAGACTAAGGCAGGACTGGCCTGCTGGGCTCATGTGCTCACGGTCCTGGACCAGGCCTGCTCTGCCCCTCCTGCGCCCCCCAGCCCTGTAGGAAAGCGGGAGGCCCGTGTCCCAGGCCTGGGGACAGATGGCAGCGGGCGGCCTGCGGAGCCAATCCAGCCCCTTGGCTGTTTCTGTGCTACTCCCCAGCTCATACCAGATTTCACGCTCTTAATGGCAGAGAAAAAAAGTCAAAAGCACGCTATTCTGTGACCCTCGGAAGTTAGGTGAGCTCTGGAGCTTGGGGCCCGTAACGAAGGCACTGCCCGAGTGCGGCCAGCGCACGGACACTGCGGCCCCCGAAGCCTCAGACACCCACTCCTAGCTTCTGCGGGAGGGCGAACCAGATCCGGACCCCGACCTCGACCTGACGCAGGAGAAGGGGCCGCGCGGGCACCACCACCACGGCTCAGAGCCGGCTCTGACACCGACCGCTCACCTGCCGACAGGCGCTGACCCCGTCCAGCCCGGGGCGCGGGAGTGTTTCCCTGAGCCAGGATGCCCCCACGCCCCCACTGGGGGCCCCAGGGACACGGTGAGGCTCCGCCAACCCGAGGCGACCATCCCATCACTCGGTTCACTTTCCACCCATCCCAAAGCCCAGGGTTCCCAGGACCTTCTGTAAGAGCCTGGAGGTCAGGCCCTCTGGACCAGACAGGTGGGTGCCGGCCCGGCCTGGCCGGTGACGCGGACGTGTGGGGCTGCCCGCCCAGCCACTCTACCTTCTGAGAATTCAGCAGCAGCGTCTGCACGGGCTCGAGGTCCTGGAAGAGCCGTGTCTCCTCTATGATGTGGGCCTCGTTCTCCAGGCTAACTGCTTTGTGCAGGGTGCCCTGGTCTGCAAGGGCAAAGCTAGAGGTCAGAGACGTGCCTGGGAGGGCAGGACAGAGCCGGCCCTGCCATCGGCCATGGAGCAAATGGTCCCTGCTCTAACTCTCAACTCTGCCTCGATGGGACACGTAGAAACCGGTGCTCTTTGCGCTCTGGAAGTGGGAAAGGAAAGACCAGTAGCTAACGCACCGCGGCCTCGTGAGCCTGGGTCAGCCTCAGGGTTTTCTGAAAAACCATCGCTGACTCCAGTGGACGTCAGTGCAGTGAGATGGTGCCGGCAGGTAGGCGCAGCGGTGGCTCCCAGGCTCCTCTGGCCCTCTGGGGTGCCATCCCTTGCGGGGTCCCAGGCAGGCGAGGGCAGGACCCCCCGAACCTGGCTCAGAGCATGCTAGAACGCCCCCAGGGCCGAGGTGGGGCCCACCAGCTGCCGCTGGGCCCGGCCACTAGTCCTCTCCCTGAATGGGCTCTCACGGCAGGTCGGGACAGGCTCAGCTGGCCCCATGGGCAGCATGTGGACTCCCCTTGTGCGAGCCTCAACCTACCACACCTGCGCCCCTGACAGGGACCAGGACTTGCGTGGTCGCAGACCTCAGACGCCAGTGCCGGAGACTCTTCCGTAAAGCACTGTGAGCACCGTGGGCACTGTGGGGAGGTGCGGGGGCCCCCGCAGCAAGGATGAGCCGGATCTGCTGGGGTCCTGACCCTGAGGGCGGGACCCACCTGTGCCCACAAACATGACGTCGTAGGGGGTCCCATCCAGAGCCCAGGTCCGGTCCACCACGAGCTGTGTGTAGTTCACGTCGCTTCGGATGAGCCTGGGCCTGTTGTCTATCGGGGTCACAGAGCCGTCCATCAGGGGGTGGTCCTTGACGAACTGCAGGGTCTTGTCCGGCAGGCTGAGGGAGCTGGAGAAGTTGGCCGCCCGCGCCTCGCGGTTGATGCACTGCAGGGAGGAGAGCGGCTGGTCCGCGCGCACACACTGCCCCAGGCTTAAACACGCGCCCGCGGGCTCCTCGCCCCAGCGGACGGACAGGCCGCCTTGCCTAGCGGTCGGAAGGCACAGCTCTGCCGCTGGTGGGAAAGGCCGCCAGCCGCGGTTCTGCTGGCGACACACATCTGAGTCATCTGTCCCTGTCCGTAATCCAGAAACGCATCAAGCTCCTGACACCCAGAAAAGTACTGAACCCGGCCCAGTTCCAAGCGCACGACGGTCAGCGCGGGCGGGACTCCTCTGTCCCCGGCTCTCCACGGGTCTTGCAGCCCGTGCGAGGGTCTGACCGAGGTCGGCTGACGGGCGGAGGGAGGAGGAGGCCGGAGCCGGCGGGGCGGGGCGGTCCAACCGGCCCAGCAGCCACACCGGCTTCTACACAGATTCACCAATTTTAGGAAAAAAACAAAACCAAAAACATGACTCCTGTTCACGGGTGGGGAGCACAGGTCCTTGACAAACACTGCGTTTGTGTGCGGGAAGCACGAGATCAAACAGACCGACTTCCCGGGCTCGGAAGGGGCGCCTGCTCGCCGGCCCCGCTCCGGCCCCGCCCCACCGCGCTCCGGCCCCGCCCCACCGCGCTCCGGCCCCGCCCACTCCGGCCCCGCCCCACTCACCGCCCCGGGCCTGGGCGTGGGCACCGCGCCGTTGTAGCGCACCCACTTGGTGTGGGACTGCTCCACCGTGGTGCTCTGCATGTACTTCCCGCGCGAGAAGACCTCCTCCGCGGCGGACAGGTTGTAGGCGCACACGGCCGACAGCCCCACGTTGTTCCTGGGGAGCAGGGGACGGCGTGACCACGCGGGCGGTGGGCCCGCCGACGGCGTCCCCCTGCCCGGGCCGGCGCACTCACAGCTGCGGGGTGAAGACCCCGTAGATGACCGGCTCCTTCAGGCCCTCCGCCCGGAGCACGAAGACGTCCTGCAGCACGTTGAAGACGAGGTTGCTGTCCGGCCGCGAGCAGATCAGCCGGGCCTTCAGGAAGGATGTCCACTTCTTCTGCAAGGTCCGCAGGCCGCCCTGGTCCCCCTGAAACCAGAAGGACGTGCGTGGTGGGCAAGGGCAGCTCCACCCGGAGGGACCGAAACCGCGCTGACCCCGGGCCGCACACGCCGGCGGCCACCGTGTCATCCTCTCCCATCTGAGCATGAAACCCAGAGAGGCCTGTCGGCAGTGGCCTTGCCGCAGCCGGACCCACAGGTGGTCCCCACGCATGCGCCTCACAGCAGCAGATGCCCCGCCGGCCTCGCACTGCGGACCCCTGGAGCGGGCTGCTGACCAGGGGCTCCCATGGGCCTCCGTCCTCCTTGCACAGGACCAGGTCATCTCAAAGGACTTTGCGGGATCCTCCATAAACATATTTTAGTGAGCTGGCCCCAGGGGACGACGCAGACACGCTTGACGTGACCTGCTTGGGAGACAGCCCTGAAACACAGCAATCTGGACGCTGGAGACCGCGGAGTGGAGCGTATTTACGTCGGACGTGAGAAACAGCCCCCGACTGCACGTTGGAACGCCGAAATCCCAGTTTCCACAGGCTCAAGCTCACACAGTGAACGAAAACCAACTTCCTATAACCTGGGACGTCTGGGGATGGTGTTTCAGACACAGGCCTGCTGACACTCCTGGGGTCTGCAGGGGGACCCCCCAGGCTTCCCCAGGGCAGGCTGAGCCTGTGGCAGCCCGTCCACACCCGTCTGCGGCATGAAGGCAAGGTGGTGGGCAGACCGACATTCCAAAGGAAGCTTCAAGCCTGGCCAGGCGGCGAGGCCTCCAGGCACGGGAGCGCCCTGGGGCAGGGGAGCCGGCGGGGGCACAGGGCCTGGGCTCACCTTGCACACCCGCGCCACCCGCGGGATCATCAGCTTGAACACAAACTCGTACTCCACGGACACCTCGGTGAAGAAGAAGTAGACACGGTCATCCCCGCTGTCCATGCCGTCTGGACGCTCTCGCATCACATCAGCGAAGACGAAGCTTGGTTCTGCAAGCGACAGACATGGGGTCACCCCTCTGCTCAGCCGGGCTGGGCACCACCCCCAAGCGACGCAGGAGGGGGCGTGTGTCGTGTCCCTCCCGCGGGGCCTGTGAGAACGGACAGCATCCCAGCCCCGGGACCCATGGAGAACGGCGCTCAGACCCCCGGCCAGCAGATCCAGGTGCCTAGCGCCCCCCGCCCACAGCAGCGGAGCAGCCCGCGGTCCCGGCTCCCCCAGACTCCCCGCGTCCAGGAGCCCGGGGGACTTAAAGGCCACAGCCCGCTGGCCAGTGCCCACAGGAGCTGCAGGAACCCGCTGGGCAAACGTCGTCCCAAGGGGAGTGGCCCGGTCAGCCCGGGTCAGCAGGGACCATCAGGCCTTCACATCCTGAAGGACGGTGACTGCATCCGTCTTCAGGGAGGGGAAGGTGGCCTCAAAGCAGCATGGGCTCCACAGGGAAGGACTGAGCTGGGAGTCCCAGCGGCTCCAGAAGCTCCCCGTGTGGGAGCCACCATGAGCCGGGGGGTGGGGCAGGGAACCAAGCGCCCTCGGGGAGACTCAGAGCCCCGCGGCAGGGGCACCTGCGTCTCACCATTCAGCCACGGTATCGCATACTCCGTCCTCAGAGGGCTGTGGGACGAGTTTCGGGAGATGATGGGCTCGCTTCCCAGAAAATTGTAGGAGGTCCCGGAATACAGCTCCCCGTCTTGAGCGGCCCCGGACGAAAGAGGAAAGGGGGTCAGCGGCAGTGCTCCTGTCACAGCTGGGCTTGGGCACCCCGCCCCCCAGGGAGGGGACAGACCACGGCCCTGCTCCTGGGCGCATGGGGCTGCTGCTTCTGGAGCCTTCCCTTGCATTTCCGAGACCAGGACAATCGTGTGCTCCATGTGAAAGGTCCTTTTCGGGGCTTGGGGTGCTAACACCAGGTGACCCTGCCCCCGGGGAAGTGACAGACATAATGGTGGGCGCACGGGGCTCCTGGCCTGAGGCTGCGGCACCTCAGGGACCTCCCTCAACAGGGGCGTGCACGCCGTCAACTAGAGATGCCTGATTTGCATCTCATGAGCCCCTAAAATAACTCCCTCCTGCAAACTTGACTTGTGGCCCCGGGGGGTGGCCGGTCACCCTTTTGCACAATGAGTTCAAACACTCACGTGGGGGTCTGCGGAGAGGCCCGGGTGCCTTCTGTGAGGACAGGGAACATGGAAGCAGATGGAGGGAGCCGCGCTAACCTGGGGGAAGGACTCACCAACCATGACAGACGTGTAGCTCTGTGCGGGGTCAAAGGGGCACCTGCCCTTGCCATCCTCGCTTCTCCCCAGAAATTTAAAGGACGTCAAATCCTGCAATCAGATAAGAAAGAGTGTCAGGAAACGTCTGAATTTCCGCGCTCGCAGCAGCTGCGTGCTGCCCCGTTGCCCAGACGTGCTGTCGGGGGCGTGGGGGGAGGGAGGAGAAGGTGCACGGCCCTGCAGGTCCCAGGGCTAAACGCCGGCGCCTCGAGAGCCACGTGGGGTTGAGGAGCCGCAGTCCGCTCGGCGGTGAGGTGCCGATGGCTCCGGGGTCACAGGGCAGACCCGGGGCAGGAGGCCAACGGTGAGTGACCAGAAGCCACGTGTGGGATTTCAGCATCAAACTAATGGCCATTCTGCACTCACACCAGGCAGGGGTGATCTCAGGCTTGGGCATCCCTTCTGGCCCAACCAGGGAGCCCAACACCCCGAAGCGTAAAGAACAGGAAAGCTTTGTACAGGGACACTGAAACCGAGCTTGATGACAGGTGACATGATGGGGAAGGGCCCGCCCGAGGATGGCCTAGGTGCTTCCGTGCCTGCGCGCACCCCGGGAGGAACGTCAGAGACGAGACGTGTCTGTGGGGACGCATGGCAGGGAAGGACTTGTGAGCGGCAGGAATGGCGGCCGGCGTCACCTCCCGCCCTCCAGCTCGCCCGAGCTGAACACCACACCCTGCCGCGGAGGGTGGCTGTGCCTCCTGCTGCCCATCGGGGGGTGGGGGAGAACGCATGCGGGGTGCAGAGGGCTCACGGGCCTGGGGAGGCTGTGGGCCCGCCTTCAGCGGACAGACACCCCGTCAAGCCAGGGAGCACGAGCTGGGGTGCAAATGGCCCGCAGGGCCAGGGGAGGTCGGGGGCCGTGTGAACGAGGGGTCGGCCCGGAGGAGAGCCGTCAATGGAAATGACTGCATCTTCCCAGGGGACGACAGGCTTGGCGTTGGCCATGTACGGAAGTGTGGCTGTTCCTAGGCCTCTGGGGGCCGCGGGCTGCAGGGCCGCACGCCCCCTGCCCTGCTCCCACCTGTGTGATCAGCCTGTTGGCGTCAATGTTTTTTATTAAAAATGCTGGGAAAAACTATAGGTCTGGATTTCAGGGAAGCCGGACTCCCTTACCTAACAACGGACAGGCCCATGGGGTCGGAGCCTACATCCCGGAGCCAGAAGCTCCGGACTGACCAGCACGCAGCCAGCAGACCCCCAGGTGTGCAGACATGTCTTAACACGACCTGGCACACTGTCCCCTCGCACAGGAAGAGGCCCAGCCTCTCTGAGGACGGAGGTCCAGCCCTTAGCACTCCGCTTCCACCACCACCAGCGTCTGTGGGCCCAGACCGCCAGGTGACCAGGCCCCATGCCCCCGCCCTGGGGTTCTGTGCGTGCAGTCTCCCTGCAAGTCCTTCACTGGCCCCTACTTTGTGCCATCGTTCATCTCTGACTCAGGTTGGAGACTCTTGTTTAAATTCTCATTGCTTTGGGGCTCCAGCAAAGGACACCCTCCATGGCAGTGCCCTTCCCTCCTAGCCGGTACTAAGTCAGGGACGGTCACTGGAGGACGGACCTGGCCATCCACATGTGCATTTAAAATACTTCTCTCCTCTCTCTGTGGTCGTTCTCCATAGCTCAGCTGTGCCTGAGTGAAAGGGGCTGCTGCCCTCTGCCCCGTGTCCTTCCAGCTCCCGGTCAGCAAGGGGCCAGGGAGCCAGGGTGGGGGCCCTCGGCAAAGCCCCTCAGGCAGCACGAGGCAGGCCAGGGCCAGGAGGACTGCAGTGGGCTGGAGCGGGAGCCGCTCACACACCCAGGCTGTTGCTCCTTGAGGGCGTGTGGTCCAGCACCCTCGTCAGCGGGCTCTGGCCGCAGCAGACACCACGGGGCAAGGCCCCAGAGCAGAGTAGCCGCCGCACCCTCTCCCTCCAGCTCTGGAGGTCGGAGTGCCAGCTGGTCGGTGTGCGGTAAGGATCTGCTCCCCCGACCGCGTCCCATGGAGTGCAGAGAGGGCTCCGGAGGCTCACAGGCCCCCTCTCTGAACACCCTCACATTGGGGGATTAGGGCTTCCCAGGGGCTTTGGGGGACACATTCAGCCTGTAGCACAGGCGGGCCCACAACATGCCCGCCAGGAGCAGAGTCCTGACCCACCCACAAGACCACAGCAGGCCTCCCCACAGGCACAGAACGTGGCAAGAAGGGCGCAGGAGGCCGGACCACGGCGTGCTGGTGCTGTGCGGGTCAACAACTCACTTTCCAGGGGGCCCCCCCACTGCCAGCTCCGTGCCACCAGCCGCTGGTCCCGTGAGTCCTGCCCTGCCATGCCCTCGGCGCCAGTGGGCTCCCGGGAGCCTGGCGAGTGGGCCGCAGCTACCTGAGGCACCCCCGCTGCTGGCCATCAGAAAAGCCTACTGCTCTGAGGAGCGGGGAGCCCCGCCGCTGCGCCAGGAGGGGGTGCCCAGCCTTACCAGGTGGTCGCAGGCCGGCTGGAACGCGTTGGTCCCACACACGTACAGGGCGCCGGGGCCGAGAGGCTGCAGCACTCGGATGTAGTTGAGGCACTCCGTCTGCGAGGGGACACACGCACGCATCAGCTGCCCGCCGGCCCCACTGCCACCCGGACCTCAGGGCACCGCTGGCCACGACCAGCACCCTTTGCTGTCCCCACCCCCGGCACCTTGGCTGGCCCCCATCTCACATGCTTGCTCGGCCCTGCCTGGGCGGTGGGGATGGTCCCAGACCCGGCCCCCTGAACAAACCCGTCTGCGGTGTCCCCAGGCCGGCCATCGGGGGCCAGGACCCATCACTCCGTCACTGATTCACCCTCTGCCAAGATGCCCACCACCGGAGAGACCCATTCACTCTCACTCGACACTCGGCATGTGCCTGGTGCGGCCCGGATGGTGGGTGTGTGGCATCCCGCCTGCCGTCCCCATCCCTGGGGATCCCAGCCCGCTGCCCCAGTGCGCGGGGCCAGAAACAGCGTGTTTCTGGGAACAGGCTGGGTGAGGGAGGGGCCCGAGGCTGTGCCCACATGAGAAAACCTGATGCCATAGAAGAACACGCTATTTTAGGCTGAAATGAACGTACTGGGATCATATGTGCTATTGTCTGAAATTATCTCTGCTCAGGGAAGATTTTCTGGGTTTTTGTGTGTTTGCCCCCAGGATCATTTCTAACTGGTTGGCAGTAAGTCACCCTCCCCATGGAAGCCGGGAGAGACTGCTGTCCCTGAGCGGCCTCCACATCGGGCTGGGCGGGCACTCGGCCTAATTTAGATCTCGGACAACACCCTGTGACACCAGTGATTACCACGCAAAGCCTGCATTTTCCCCATTTCCTAAAGCAACGTTGGATCTACTGATTTCAGCAAAAAAATAGTGCAGCAGAAACATTTTTTTCCCCATCTGTAATGATTTTGAAGTCAGCCGACCACTGAAATCTACCTTAACTCAGCTGCCCTGCCCAGCTACCAAGGAAGACAGAGGTCCTATGCTCAGAGACTCAGGCACGGGCCCGGCCCCAGATGCGGGCAGGAGGCCCAGCCGGTGGTGGGGTAACCCGGAGCCTTGGGGGGAGGCAGACCCTCGGGCCAGTGCGCCGAGGTGCCCAGTATCTCCTGGGGAAGTGGCAGATTCTCAAGGGATGGTCCCTGCCCCAAATCCAGAAATCCTACGGCAACCCTTCCAGGCTGCTGGGGTGCTGGGGAGGTCCAAACCCTGCATTTCACACCTTTAGTCAACAGGCACGGGAAACGATTTTCCCTGTCAAGTTTGAGACCATCTGAATCAACGCAACTAAGTTAACCTTTACCGAAGGGTTTCCCAAGTGCCCGCCCTGTGGGCTCCTGCGTTGAGAGACCCCGCCTCAGCATTTGGGCACAGAGGGGAACCCCAGGATGGGTCGCAGCCACGCCACCCAAGGGTCCTGAGACCAAAATTACCTGTCTTGACTTCCCCTTCTCGGCACATTTTGCTTTTTTATCTTCTGAGACCTTCCAGTAGGCCTGTTAGGAGAAAGGAGAGCCCATTCCAGTGCACAGGCCCTGATCCAGAGGGGGTGCGGCATTAACATGCCGGTTTGCAGAGCGCGCTGCCACGCCGGCCTCAGATACTCCCCCGACAGCGGAAGCGACTGCACAGCCAGGCCTGGCCAGCAGACGCAAAACCGAGGTCCCGAGGGGGGCTTCGAGGAAGTCCCCCCCGAGACCCTCCCCCAGAAGCCAGCGGTGCCTGGCCTCCCGGATTCTTGTTGTTTGCTAAAAACAGCAGCAAATGTAAAGGGCTATAACAGTGAGGTTTTTGATGGTTTATCAACTGGCTAAACCACAGGTGTTTTCAAGCAGCAAAGTGGGTTCCTGGGACGGTCTGTGGACAGCAGGACCCGGCTCCTTTCGGTCTTCTGTACCCACAGGCGTGGTGGTGGGAGAGCAGCTCTGTCCCCCACCCCCACCCGGCCTCCCACGACCTGTGCTCCTGCTCCCTTCACGCCCGAGGGATGTGATGAGAACAGGGCAGCCCGCGGGGGCCTCACCCCCTGCCCTCGAGAGGACCGGCAGCCACAGGCCCACACCACAAATGGCTCCCCCATTCCTGCCTTGCCTTCCCTGGGGTGTTTGGTCTCCCCCTGTGACAACCCACGATGGACGCCCAGAGAGTCGCAGCCACCCAGGCGGTGCTCAGCGCTTAGGAAGAGCCTAGAGCTGCAGCAGTAAGCGAGTCCCCGTGCACGTGGTCCCACGCTAAGTGTCCCGCATGAACCCGCCTCCCAGAAGGCCTGGCCAGCATACGCGTCAGAGCAGTGCGTTTCTAGGGAGACAGAGCTTGTCATCAGAACACGTGAAAGCAGAACCAAGTCCCCGGCTGATGGCGGCGTCCCTCAGAAGGTAAACTGCCAATGATTTTGTCGATATAAAATGCTTAAGGACACGGGAGCATGAATGCGGATGGGCCCCGGCCGTGCTTGCCGGACCCCAAAGGGACACAGGACGCAGTGAGAGAGAGCAAGAAACCAACCCCAAGTGCTGGGCTCGTGTGTGAGGACCCAGCGGTCAAGGACAAGCTGGCACTGGCTGCGAAGGGACAGTCTGAGCTCTGGGCAGGGCTCGGGTGGCAAGGGAAGGAGCCACATCCCACACACTCAGAAGCGTCTCTCCAAAGCCGTTCTGCAGATCCAAATGGCACAAACGCCACTACCTCCCTTCAGAGAGAAGGAGCTCATCAAAAACAGGCTAGCGGAGGCCACCATTTCAGGTGCTGATCCAACTATTTCCACAGGAACTGGCCCCAGGGAAGGTGACCCCGTTGTGGATGCCTTCCTGCTCCCACGTGGAGGAGAGGCCAAGCCAAGAAGTCCTGGGACACAGCTCTGAGATGCACCAAGGGCCACAGCAGGGGCCTGCCCGTCACCAAGGACGTGGGAGCAGTGGCTCTCCCAGAGACAGGCCAGGGCAGCAGTGGGACGTGGACACTTGCTGGGCAGAGTGCCCAGCCGCACAGACGGTCCAATTTCAACTGCATTCAAACATCATTTATGACTGTGGAATCTGAACACCAGTGATTTGATGACATTTTTTGGATGTGATTGTGGTATTTTGCTAATTCTGACAAAAAGGAGTCCTTTCCTTTAGGGAGGGGACACCTCGGGAACCTCTCGTGGATGAAAAGTGTATCTGGGAATTTGCTTCGAGTAGAGGGAGCAGAGCACTGGGACGTGGGTGGAGGAGGGTGACCCCGGAGCCAAGCGGGACAGGCCTCCTCGATCCCACTTCCTCTACTCCTGTGTGTGCCAGAGATTTTTCATAATGAAAAGGCAAAAAGTCCAAGAGGGCAGGACAGAGGCCCCTGGGTGAGTGGCTGGCCCAGGGAGGACAGAGACTGTTGGGAGGGAGGGTGAGGAGGTGCCTTCACGGGGACGGGCCCCTTGCTGGCTGGAGGGCAGGAGGCTGCGTGGCCAGGAAAGGGCTTGACGCCCCAGGAGAGGCCCAGGGCAGAGTCAGGGAGAAAACGGTGGGCAGGTCTGCGGCCACGCCCTACCTCATGCTGCTTCTCGGAGACATTGTGCGCACTCAGGGCAAACACGGCTTCCCGGGCCCCCACGTACAGGGTGGTCTTATCCTCGCTCAGCAGCAACACTGAGTAGTTGAAGATGCCTGGCTCGTGAAACTTCTCCAGATGCACCTCTGGGGAGGGACGAGAACATCAGACATTCCTGAGCCTGGACACGGTGAGCATCCCGTCCCGCTTTAACGCGCCACCATGTCGCGTGGCTGCACGTGGATCCACTCCCTAGAGGCAGCCCCTGCCCGAGGCCAGCACTCAGACCTGCTAAGACAGTCACCAACACCATGCAACCCTGCAGGGCCCCGAGCCACTGTGCTCGACCAGTGCTGTGGCCCAGCGTCCCTTCCTGCTCCCTCCAGTGGGGTTCCAAACCCTGCACTCACATGGCCTCCCAGGAGCATGACCTCTGGGGGCTCTGTCCTCTGAGGGGCATGACCTTCAAGCATGCGATCTCAGGCTGCTGACCACTATGCTGTCCACACTCTCGTGTATGTATGTTTAATCTTAACACAGATTAAGTATATGAGAATGTAAACTAAGCTTTTCTTATTTAGGAAAAAATGTGATTTAACTCAAAATCTTAAAAAAATCCAATCCAGTAAATATACCCCTTGACTCAAGCAGATTTCGGAGTTAAGCACCACGAAGTTAGAAACAAGTGACATTTCCTCTCTCAAGAGGGAATTGCACGGTCAAGCAGGACGAGAATCGGGCGGACTGGCAGGGACAGAAGCGTGTCGGGCGTTTTCCCAAAGGGCACTTGCTTCGGTCTGACCGTCCCAGCGTCCACACGAATGCACGAGTGCCGTGAGCCCGGGTTTTGTGGACCGCTGGTTCCACGTAAGGACCAGGTGTCCACACACTCTGCTGTCTGGATTCTCCCGGGCTGGACACCGCCACGCAGAGAAAGGCTGACCCGGCGCACAGGGCCTGGGACAGCCCACGAGATGGCTCAGCCCCGCCAGCAGCCCTCGCTCCTCTCGCCGGGGAGGCCGGGGCTCTCAGGACGCAGATCCCAGGAGAGGAAATAGGCAGAGACTGCGGACAGCAAAGGAAAGCAGCTGGCCGGAAGCCTGGCCCTGTTAGTCCCCAGACAAGCATCTGGAGTGGCTGTGCCCGGGGAGCGCACAGCACCTCTTCAGGCTGCCAGGGCCCCGGATTCAGAAACCTAAGCAGCAGTCCCTGAACGCGCCGGACACCGTCCCACGTGCCCCAGGCTCCTGCCCACCCGCGGGAGCAGGGCTGGCCCGTACCTCTGTGCTCCCAGGTGATCCGGGGCTTGGGTGCAAAGGCCACCGCCATCCCGAACACCATGGCCAGGGTGGCAAGCAGCCCCCCGACAGGGGCACACATCCTCGCACAATGCAGAGCGGGCTTGGGCAGCAAATGCTTGTGGGCTGGGGGGCTGCCGTGGGTGTCCCGGCGGACGCTGCTCAGGGCCTGGCGGCTGTGAGCCGTGGCACAGCCCGGAGCTGGTGGGCGCTGTAAACCTCGAGGACCAGCATTTCCCAGGCGCCGGGCGAGGTCACCACCGCCAATGTTGAAGGTTGCCCGGATCTTAAGCGGAGCACTGCTTTTTGGCCTCACGAAGAAATTCTGGAAGTGAGAACAAAGGTCAGAGGTCAGGATGCCTGTAGTAACACAGCTTCTGTTTCCCTCTGTGCCCAGGGCTCTGTCCACGCCAGGGCGGGGGTGGTCGGGGCGGGGGTGGTCGGGGCGCAGGCTCACGCTGACACTGCAACCCAGTCACCAGGAGCGGAGCTCCAGGGCAGATGCCAGAGCCCAGACCAGGACGAGCGCCCACCCAGCTCCCCGGCCTCCCCCGTGCGCAGATGTGGCCATGCCCCGCTGGTGACGTCATGCACAGGTGCAAACCAGGCAACAGGTGCCCCCTCGGACCCTGGCTTCCCAGCTCCCGTAGCGCCCGCCGGAGAGGTCAGCTGGGCGAAAGACTGGGAGCACCGCGTGGAGGCGGAGCCGTGTGCGCAAAGGGCCACTTCGCACACACAGAAGCACACACACACACGTGACCTTGCCGTGGGGGACAGCCGGCCTCCTGCCACACACAGGCCCTGCCCCTCCAGCCACACCCGAGAAGTCCCCGTGCCACAGAAAGCACAGCTAGGGGCTCTCGGGGTCCCTGGGAAGCCGTTCGTTGGAGGGCAGAGGCTGTGGGCTGGGGGTGTGCTGGTGCCATCCCCAAGGTGCCTGCCCTGCGGTGGGGGGCAGGGCAGCCTTGCTGTGGACCACTGAGGCAGGGCCAACGCCGGAGCCTCTAGCCAGGACGCCAGTGGGACCGTGACCTGGATTCCTTCTGGCTTCTCAGGACGGGGCTGCAACCAGAAGCTCTTGGAACAGAGGCAGGACCCCCGTCCCTCCCAGACGTGCTGCCCCAAAAGGCCGCACCGGAGAGCCACTGGTACGCCCCACAGGGTTTCCTCTACAGTGAGACAGCGGAGCAGCCTGCCTCTCTCCCCCAGGCGGGCCCTGCTCACTCTTCTCTTCCTTCCGTTCCAGCAAGCCAGCCCCTGCAAGGCTCAGGCCAGTGGGCCCGAGCTCCTCTCTGGAGCCTTCCCTTTGCCCTCACCATCACCACCACGCGGACGGCCAAGAGGCAGCCCGCGCCACACCGCCCTCAACAGTGCCCCCGCTCAGCCTCCCCAGGGCCCCCGCAAGCTACATGTACCAGCTCGGGCTGCTTCCCGACACCGCAGCCAAATCGAACCTCCCAAGAGGGTGTGAGGGGAAGTTCTCACTTCCGTTCACCTAGCCAAGCCACTATCTCCAGGAAGCCCTCCTGGGCTGCCTCCCCATCCTTCCCAGAGGTCACCTCTCATGCCGCTGGAATCCTATCATGCGGCAGGGCTCGCCCTTGGGGTCACTGTGGACTTCGCGGGGTCTTCCCTGCATCTCTGTCTGTTTCTCATGCCTGTGCCCTGGGCGCCACTGCCCCACTCCACTTAGTAGAGAAAGGACTCGTGGGGGGCCTTGGGGGAGGACTGACAGTGGGCACAGCCAGGCCTCAGCTGCCTGCCCCCCTTTCTTGTTGGGGCGCTTCTCTGCCTTTCCCCTTCCTGCCAAAGGTGTGCCGGCCAGGCCTGTCCTCACCCCGATGCCACTACGAGGCCATGAAGCCAGGGCAGCACGCACTGTCTGCGGGGACGGGCTCGCCCTGTGTGGGGGCCAGCACCCTGTCCCACCAATGGCCGGAGGGCCAGCCTTCTTAGGTTTGGGCTGTTTGGTCTCTGTCTCAGGTACTCCAGTCCCCGGGGCGGCGCAGAAGCAGCCCCAGACATGTGTCATGGGACACACACGGCCAGGCGCTGGTCTGCAAGCTGAAACCCAGTCTGGGGTTCAGGGGAAGGGCCAGCCCCGACACCCCACAGGGAGGGTGGGACTGGAAGCTAAATCCAGAAGCAGATGGGCCAGTGATGGAGGAACAGAGGGATGGAGAAAGGGAGGGACGGAGAGAACAGAGTGAGGGACAGGGAAGAGGGATGGGGAGGGATGGGGAGGGAGGAGGGAGGGATGGGGGGAGGGAGGGAGGGAGGGGGACTGAGAGAGGGGGCATGGGGAGGGACGGGGGAGCGAGGGACGGGGGAGCGAGGGACAGGGGGACTGGTGGATGGAGGTGGGACAGGAGGACTGGGGGACGGAGGTGGGAGGGGGAAGGGGGACAGGGGATGGGGGAATGGGGGAATGGGGGATGGGGGAGGAAGGGGATGAGGGATAGGGGGAGGAAGGGGATGAGGGATGGGGGGATGGAGGGGGGAGGGGGAGGAGGAGGGAGGGATAGGGGAGGACGGAGTGGGGAGAGACGGGGAGGGACGGGGTGACAGAGGGAGGGACGGATGGAGGGACAGGGGGATGGTGGGAGGGTGGAAGGAGGGACAGAGGGAGGGACAGGTGAGGGACACACACCTGCCACAGCTGCCCCTCCTTCCTGCCTGCCCCCAGGCTGACCCCTGGTCCATCTTCATTATCTCGGCTACGCCCAGGCTGACTGCCCCCCACGCCCATCCCTGTTCCCCGGTGGGCCCACAGCCCCTTGGCTGCCCTTGTCACCAGACTGACCTCCCACTCCACAGCCCCACCTCCCTCGCCTGCCCCCAGGCTGGCTTCTGCCCCTGGGCTCCTTCCCCTGATGCTGGCTGTGGGGTTGATATCACCTTGCAAAACAGCCCCCTCCCGCTCAGGACGGGCTTCAGGAGCTCCCAGTGTCACATGTCACGTGCCTGATAAACAGTTCACTGTGTGGACTTCAATTCCCCCAGAACTCAGAATAGTCCCCTGGAGCGATGCCCCAGCTCCATCGTGATTCGTGTGCTCAGCCCTGAAGATGGACGGCGGGACAGGGGGACAGTGGCCAGGTCACCTGCTTACCCTCCACCACCTCGCAGAGACAACCAAGCCATCAGGGGGTGGGGGGTTCCCGACATGCCTCAACCTCATTCCCGCACCTGAACGTAGGCACGTGTGTGTCATGCATGCGCTGACGGGACCCAGGATACGGATAGCAGCAGGGTGATGCCGTTAGACAACCAGCCTGATGACCGGCGGGTGCACGGGGCAGCAGCGAGGGGCCAGCCGTGCTGCCCCAGCAGGGAGGCCCACAGAGGGAGGAGTCGGGAGTGCCTCTGCGGCATCACCAGATGTGCATGTGGCCATAAACAACGCTGTCTCCTGCTGGGGAGGAGGGCTGTGTGTACCTGCACATGCCCCTGACCCCCTGCTTAGCACCAGCCTGGCATTTCCAGGGCAACCACTACACTGTCCAGGCTGGATGCTGGCTCCTGGGGGACAGCGGGGCTACCCTGGAATGTGGCTGGCCTGTCCTGTCATCACGGGGAGCTCGGCCTCAGACGCAGGAGACCCAGGCAGCCCCAGGAGATGGGCTCGTGAGCATAGTGTACCCCGACCACACGCCAGCGGCCACATGGTAGCAGGTGGGACGACCCACACTGTGTCCAGGGAGGGTGCCGCCCCCCGGCCCCCACGGACACACATGTAAACATATGCGGACGCGCATCCAGCTGTGAACAGTGGTTACCGCTGGGGAGGGAGGCCAACGGCCAGGGAGTGCGCTGTTGGTGTCTGTCTTGTACACAGTGAGTCACACATTTACACTGCTGTGTGCAAGACTGACAGCCCCCGCCCCACCAAACCAAGTCCTGCGCACACGCTCCATCCAGTCCGCCCGGGTGCGGAGCGGCGCGTCCCAAAGTCGTCTGTGTGCCGGCCCCTCCCCCAGGGCCACCGGGCGTCCATGACCTGTCTGTCCCATCTGCACGTACATGAAGAAGGGGACGGGGCCTCGTCTGCTCTCTAGGCTGCGTGACTGTTAGCACGAGGCAGGTAGGAGGAGGGCCCGTCCCCGGGGCATTACCTCAGAGACCTCCAAGCTGCTCACCCAGCCTCAGTGCACGGACCTGGTCGTCCCTCCCAACTCTCCCAAGATCCCCAACGATTTTTTTTGTTTTACATAAGGAGATCAACAAACAAAATCAAAGATCAGTGACCCGAGGGGAAAATACTGGTAACCCAAGTGTCAGGGCTTGGAATTCCTAATCTGTGCGTCACCCACACCAGCCAGCAGCCCGGCCCAACGGGGCAGGGAACTGAAAGCACATGCGTGTGAGCCCACGTGTAAACACAGACAGTGCTAAGGGCCCTAGAGGTAGAGCTGCATTTGCTAACACGGCCCCAGCAAGCTGGCCAGGCAGGTCCCGGGGCCGGCACCGATGCCAGCACAGCACGGCGGATGTGGAGGCCAGTGGGGCTGCTGGAGGCCGGCCAGAGCCACATCCGTGCAGGACAGGAATGACTACAAAGAGAAGTGGAGCGCAGGCTTTCCTTCTGCTTTTACATGAAACTGACGTTTCTCTTTCCTTTTAAACTGGAACTACATGGTTGACATGAAGATTCATCACAAAATGGCCCCAATCCAGAGCCAGGGTGACACAGAGACCACTCCCTGCAAGCCCACTGACAAGCCCCCGGCACCCCAGGAGAAGCTGGAGCTTTGTAGGGCCCCCAGGGGCTGGCCGCCCAGAGACCCGGAACAGAAACACGGCGGGTAGGGCAGGGGTGGGACGGCGAGAGGCAGGCTGTGCGCGGGACTCCAGGCGCCCAGCATGGACAGATGCCTGCATGGCAGCAGCCGCGTCCCGACCCCGGCCCCACAGAGCACACAGGCAGCTGGGACCAACCGTGTGCTGGACCCCACTGAGGCTTCTACAAGGTGTCGGCGTTGCTAGACTGGGACGCCCGTGGAGAAACCATGTTTTTACCTGTATCTTGCGCCTCCAGAAACGTCCCTCAGTTGTTTCCAGGACGGAGTCTTCAGAAATCTGGACTCTGAAAGTAACAGGAAAGGAGACTATTTCAACATGTAAGTCCTCCGTCCATGTACCCACAGCATCACGAGTAGAGATACACTGAAAAGAAACTCTTGCATTTTTTTTTAACCTCCAGACCCCAGGATGCGCGTGGCATTCATGCACTTGTGCAAACGGGAGGGAGGAGTGAGTGTGCAATCGCGCCCATAAAGGAAGTGTAACCTGGTGGGTCCCCAACTGACCACAGTCACTTCCCTGCAAAGTAAGGCCGCCGATACGCCCCACGGTCTTGGTTCGCTATTTGCAAAAAGAGAATCAGGCCATTAGTTTCAGATCTGTATCCTTGAGAACTTGTCCTCCCCGAAATCCAACAGTCGGGGGAGCCCCCAAAAAGGAAGCCTGAGTCCAGAGGGACGACAGACGATCAAAGAGAATGGGAGTGACCATCCCAGCAGGCACCGCGCAGGTGCGCAAAAGCGTCGAGGGCATGGGTGCCGGTCCCCTCGCGGTTGTGAGTGATCCGCCAGTTTCTAAACCTCAGAATCAAACACTAGCAGTTTTTGGTGGTTGGGATATAGTAATGCATGCATCGCAAGAGAACTGCACAAACAACCTGAATGCCAAGAAATCTGAAACTGAAAAACTTCTCTCTGCTGGAAATTCAGTTAAGCCTTTGTCACGTCCCTAAATACAAGCCCAGAGCTGCTTGCTCTGTGGTCAGACAAGGCGTGTCTCGCGTTCCCCCGAATTTCACGGCGCTGAGCACCGAGGGCAGGTTGTGGGTCTGTGAGCCTGAGCCCCCTCTCACCCCGCCTCACCTCTACCCTCCGCCAAACAGCTCCGAGCCCCACAGTTCCGGACTAAAAAAAAAAAGACACTTCCGGCCCCGCGGACCGCCGCGTCCCGGGCCCCAGCTCTCTACACCTGTCTACACTGGTTTCTCGGCAGAGCCCCCGCGCTGTAGTTCAGTATGGCCACAGCGGAGGGCAGGGACGTCCTCACACAATTGCTCAGCACCCTGCCGAGCTCCGTGGCTCCCTTCACTGTGCCTTTCTTCTCAGATGGCGCGGGAAAGAAGCCAACAGCCCTTGTGAGAAACCGGAGTGAAATTAATCAGGAGAGAGAACGTCTCCCTCTCCCTCTGACAGGCTTGGCCTTGCCACCCCTCCACGCCCCACGGTGCAGCTGAGCGTGGGAGCTGCAGCCCACGCCGAAGGCAGCGGTCCCGTGGCCGCTCTGACCACAGCAGAGAGCGAAGGCGGGGCTCGTCCTGCACGTCCGGTCTCTCTTCTGCAGATGTGACCTCACCTCCCAAAAGCCCCGGACCCTGACCGCGGTTTGCACATCAAAGCGAGAGGCTCCTCCCCACCTCTGAGAAGGGCAGCCATGGGGCCAGCTGCTATAAGGCGCAGTGACGAGGGGCCACAGGGCAGCACCGGCCCAGGATGCTGACCCAGTTCCCCACCAGGAATTCAGGTGGGTGCACCCCACCCATGTGAGGTGCCCAAGCAGGGGACCATTCGGACTCTGGAAACGGTGGACGACTGTGCTGCTGGGGAAAGAAGCACGAGGCGAACGGCTCCCTCATGCTCTCCTGGTGGGAGTGTGAACGCGTGTGGTCACGTGGAACACAGGACGCAGCTTCCTCAGAAAGATCAACAGAACTACTCCACCATCCAGCAATTCGACGGCTGGGTGTCTACCCATGAAAACAAAACATGAATTTGAAAAGACACCTGTATCCGTACGCTCGTGGGCATTACTGACAATGGCAAAGACATGGAAGCAGCCCAAATGTCCCTTGACAGATGAATGGATAAAGGTGTGGTGTGTGTACACGTGTGTGCACGCACACACACGCACACGCACGCACACACAGAGGAATATTATGCAGTCATCAAAAAGAATGACATTTTGCAATTTGCAAGAACATGGAGGGACCTAGAAACTACCACGCTAAGTAAGTCAGAGAGAGAGAAACGCAGTTGACTTACACGGGTATCTAAAAAACAAAACAAATGAACAAACAAAAAACCCAGACTCTTAAATAGAGAGCAAACTGGGGTCGCTGGGGGCAGGTGGTGGGAGAAGGGGGGAGATGGGGATTAAGAGGTACAAAGTCCTAGTAATAACGGAAGGAAGTCTCAGGGATAGGAAGTAGGGCACAGGGAGCATCACCAGTAACCCTCACAATGCCACGTGATGACAGATGGGGACACTTAACGGTGACGAGCACCGAGTAATACAGACTTGCCGAATCGCTACATTGTACGCTACTCACATAAGGCTCCCAGTTTGAAGCTCACTAAACGATTCCATCAAAATACAAGTCTCCACGAACAGCAGACAGACTTCCCATCATTTCTGACTGTGCATTTGCTGGACCTCCATCGAAGGGACTCTGACACCGAGCACAGAGGTCCAGGGGCTGTGAGCGCAGAGAAATCCCAGCTCAGTGCCCCAGGACAGGAGGGGCAGGCTTGCAGCCACAGAGACCAGGAAGTCCAGGAAGAAGCGGGGGTGTCCCTTGTGGGCTGGCCAGAGGGGAGGACAGGACCTCTGAGTGAACTGTGGGTCTCCTTCACGGCGCTCACCCGTGGGCGCCACCCAGCGCTCCCAAGCCTCCTCCAACCCTCCAATCCTATAATTCACAACCCTATAATTAAATAGGATAATATTGGACATTCATATCTTTGCCAATTTCTCACTTAAAATTCATTTTTAAAAAAGCAGGCTCCACACTCACCACAGAGCTGGAACGCACGACTCCGAGATCAAGGGTCCCACACTCTACCGACTGAACCAGCCAGGCACCCCTTAAAATTTATTTTTAAAGACTGATTTTAACTACCAGCAAACTCAACCCAGGAGCTCTTCTAACCAGAGCCTATCTGCAGAACGTATTTCCTTCTGGCCCCGCTGAAGTCTTCTGTTACTCGAGGCGCACATTTTTGCCATGAAAGAGCTGATGTCCGCTACCCTTCTTATACTTGTTTCCAGAACAGTCCATCACCCTGGGGCTGGAGCGGGCCACAGCTCAGCAGGCAGGGAGGGAACCACTCTCTGTGGAAGCGTCTGGCTCCACGGTGAATGGATGCTTCTCAAGGAGCTCAGGGCAGAGATAAGGGGCACCCCAGCCCCACAGCAGGCATCTCCTCCTCTCTGCCGTCAGCCAGGGCACGAAGGGGTCACAGAATTGTCTGGAACCGTGCCTACCCCGGGGCTGGCTCAGGACTATGCTCCAGGCCACCTGGGGCAGTGTCCTGCCTGCCAAGGGCCCTCAGGGGGAGTGTGCACAGTCTCACAGGGGACCCGACTCCTGCCCCTTGCACAGGCCCAGCCCAGCTGCAGAGCGACCAGCAACCCTCTCCACTCAGCCACAGCGGGAGGACGGGCCTTGGAGCCCTGACAAGCCCAGGTCTAGGCGGACAGTTCTTTTTTAAGTCTAAAAACCACAAAATGCCACTCTCTTTGCCTTCATCTTTAGTGACTCCTTAAAAATACACAGCAGGGTCCCAGAGCCAGGCCAGCTCGACCGCAGGCCGCCATCCAGCTCGAGTCTGCGAAGGCTGAGCCAGAACAAGGCCCTCTCCTCGCACCGGGCCTCCCTCCGGGACGTGGCCTCTGCTCTCCACTCGGCAAAAACCCATTAGAGAAGGCACGTGCCGTGGGCGAAAGCACTGTGAGGGCCCCCGGGGCTGGCCCCCAGCGGGACATGGGGTCCATCACCACGCCCGGTCGGCCGCCATGCCAGCCTCTCTGCACAGCCACCTGCACACAGGCGTCTGCTCTGATTCTCCAGCTTCTATACCTCTTCAAGGGGTCCCCCGGAAACGCCCCCTCAGGCCCCACAGCCGCTGACAGAGTGCCTGGCAGCCAAGCTTCTCACGTTGAGCCTGGGCCCCTATGATCCGTGTTCTAACAGTGCCAGCCCACGCTCCATCAACCATGGGCCTCGCGGCGGCTATGGGCAGGTAGGAGCTGGACAGCACCAGGGTCTCCATGGCTGCCAAGATGACCCCCGCCCGGTCCCCCGCACACGGCTTCTGCCCCGAATCTCCATCATCTCTACTTTCCAAACAACACGCAGAGGCACACCCCGGTGTCAGCACCGCCACAGCCTGACCTTTGAGGGGAGCGCGAGGAGCCCCACGCTGGACCTGACTCACCCATCCCACTGACCCTCCCTTGTGGTCCTTCTCGTCTTCCAGATGCTTCCAGGAGCCAATGCTGCATGCGGGACGAGGGCCACGTAAAACGGTGCAGGTTTGGCCTCGAGCAAACCCCACGCTCAGGGTGGTTGAAACAACTGGACCGGACCCAGCAACCGCTCTCGTCCCTCCCAACGGCAAGTGGGTGTCTGGAGCGACCTCTGCTGAAGTCCCAGGTCAAGGGAAGCCCAGCCCCCGGATTCCAGGAGAGGGGTCTACGCTCCGACCGCAGGCCAGGTTCGCTGGGCGCTGGCCCTGTGACCTGCCCTGCAGCCCAGAGCGTCCAGCCTTCCCACAGTGTGGATGCCGCAGCAGGCAGGCGTCCCCTTTCTGAGGCCCATGTCACCTCCCGGGTGCCTCAGGAGGCACGAAACACGGAAACATGGCCATGGTTCTGTCCCTGCCCCATGTCATCTTCTGGGTGGGAGGATGTGGGCTGGAGGCTGGCTGCCCCTCACGGTCCCCAGCCGGCCTGAGGAGCCATCTTCCCTCCTGGGGCCTGTGCTGGGGAGTGCGGGAGAAGCCAGGCGGCATGGACACAGTGGGGTCTCCTCATCGCTCACGAACCAAAAATCAACAGGAAGATCTGCAAGAGCCTCTGGAACCTTCCTGCACCAGTATAAGCTAGGCCGCCCCTCTGTCCCCACTAGGGCCTTGCCACTGCATCCCTGGAGAGGACAGAGGCTTGGCCCCGGCCGGCTCCCGCTTGTGGCAGCCATGGCAGGGCCATGGTTGTGCCATGCAAGCCTGAGAGAGGCCTCCAGGTGCTGCCCCCAGGTGTCCCCATGCGAGCTGGGCCCCTCATCCA